CTGGTATGTTTACAAACCTTTGTTTGGTTCTTCTGTCGCTACTTGCCGGCTCGCCTCAGTTCCGAAATTTCACTTTCAATTATCGGAAAAAAGCGAAAAAGAAGTCCCGGAAAAGGTCGAACATAGTACAATTGGCAGATGGCGTGACAGCTTTAGCTCAGCTTTATGCTCTATACTCTCATAGAACACGCTCTTTCAACCAATGACAGCGCTCGTTATATCCGAACTTTAGAAGAGAGAAGTGAAAGGAATATGACTGATACCTTCGGTTTTGAGGCAAGTGTGCCATTCTTGTCTGTTTATCCCTGGGGTCCTGTCAGTATCACATGATCTAATGAGCCCTACAATGCATGCAGAGTTTAAAAATGTCCTCTCGTGGAAAATTCTTGATATTTCGTCCTCGCTGAGCAAACCGTTTTTATCTTTGTCCCAGTACCGGTCAAAATTACGCTGAAAAAAAAAATACCTGTGTTTTACTTTGCATTTGCATTAACCTTATCTGTCAAGAGTGAAGCATTTATCTGATTTATCAATGGTAACGCCCTAGCATCTTTATAAACCTTGAATATTTAAAATAAAAAATAACAAACGTTTTGATCTACAACCTAAAAATAGTAAACAAAGGCTAAAATCTGTTAAGGAGAAATAATGTACTTAGATCTTCGGGTGAATCGCTAGAATACCACTGAAGGATACAGTTTTTAAACTGTAAGAGAACAAGTAGTTAAGGCAATTTAATTGAAAACGAAATTGAAACAGGAGGAGGCACAAACCTGTGGCATTTACACATTTTGATGCCTTCCGAGAAGACAAGAGTAACCAGAAAAGCTCAAAAGACTCAATGACGAGGCGAACACATATGAAATTTGCCCTAATGGACAACACAAGTAATGAAGAGTGCTTTTGTTTATATTTCATTCATTTTCGAAGGATAAACAGTACTCAGTCTTATTATCCAACTGCACAAAGTAGAGAGCAAATAACGCACGAATAGAGTACAAATGACTTGCGATATTGTACATTTGGTTATTTTGTACTGTGAAAAAAAAATGTTTAACCCGTCAGCGTGTGACGCACTGTCAATTTCTCAGTTGCAGGATTGGCACAAGCCTCGGTTTATTCTTACCTTTGCAAGTAGGAGTCTTTCAACCACAGAAAATACCCTGCTTTCCTGGTATACTGGGAAAATTCTTTGCAACCACTTGTCTTGAAAATTTATTATTTGTGATTTGCGGCAAGCTGATGAAGCCTCTGGAAGATCAATAATTGGCACTTACGTTATTTAATATGAATATACTGTACCTGGGAGTCATGAAGGAGTGAACGAACAAACCCATTCACATGATTTCTTCTTTAAAAGTGTGCTGTTGATTTACTGAATGATACAAAGCTAACCTTGTCCTATGTTTGTGACGGTAATCGTGGATCTATTACCATTAACCACCTTACGGATACAAAAGATTGGGAGTGAAGTTTATGGTTCATGATTAACCAAGATAACTACAATGTATAATTGTTCAAAATCACACTCTAAACGGCAGCATATCCGGCTTTCTCAGCTGTTTCAAGACCCCGTGTGTTGACACAGTTCATGGCTCGATCCCTCTACTCTGGTTGACAGTGTGGTGCTCTGCCCTTTGAGCTAGCTAACTGATATAGGTGTCTTGGGCAAGATACTTTATTATAAAAGTGAGACCAGAGAACTGAAAAATAGCCGATACACTGGAATCCCGTGCCCCATATGATGGGGCTCGATATTGGTAGCTTAGCTCCAAACTTCACCAGTTTTTCCTTAGATGTATTTATATCACACTGAGAATATTAAGACCTTTTCCGGCCTGGGGATGCCATATGAAATGAGATAATTTAAAGCAAAGGCTATCACAAAAACTTCACACTACGTAAAAATCATCAAAATAGAGACAGAAAGCTATTTAACCTTTGTGTACCTTGTTCGCTGCAGTTCCCTTGATGCTTTACTTGAATATGCATTTCATTTGCACAGGCAAACTTATGTAACTCACAGATGTTTGGAAATTCCACATGGTAAACGCTGCAAACAGGGCGATGTACATTTGAGCAGTTCACTGGACACGTACACTCTGCGGTGATCACTTCGCCGATCTTACTTTCAACACACATCTTTCCCTTTCTGCAGAAAGTCTGCGCACACGAACTCGCTAAAAATTAAAACAAGTTAAAATCTCAAAGCGGGAAATCATCAACGAAGAACGAGATAACATTTAGTTCATCAACCAACGAAATAAAACGTGAAGCTTCAATTGTAACATTTTATCAGCCAGGGTTAGTCAACTCTCTGAGTGCTGTATGCAATCGGGCTACAAAATGAGAATATGCAATTATAAAGATTCTCTTAATGTTCATTGTTCAGCGTTATTTGCGAAAATATGTTTTGTATAAGAGCAATCTATTTTAAAGTAATGCAAGATCGCATCTGAAGCTCTGACGAAGGCCGCTAACGTTCGAAACATCAGCTTTGAAACTCTTTACAGTGACTACTTTACATAATTAACCCAGTTGATAAAACTAACTTATCCTTTTTTATACTTCCGCACCGAGGCAACACCACAATTTCTTAAAAAACTTACGCTTTTATTCAAGATTGCATTAGTTTAAGTTTACCACGTCTTGTGACTCCTTCATGTTGAGCTTTGCTCTGAATAGTTTTTGTGGTCATTATGTTTTTGTTTTCCATTAACCTTTTATAGTAAGGGCTCATCGTGAAAATTTCACTTAAATAATAGCTCTTGTAAGATAGCGCCTCACAGGACTTTATTTCTTTCTATGGCTCTGCAGGCTTGAAAAACATTCAGATATAACGTACATTATCCTGGTAAGACTTTGAAATTCTAACCTGTCCACTTAAAGTTCATTTGGCACTAATTCATCGGTTACTATTAACAGTGTACACAGACAAGAGCACGAAAAAGGTAGAGAAAATTCGTAAAAAAATAAGTGCTGTTTGATCAAAATTCTTATAATTACGAAGACAACTAAACGAAAGTCTGCCATTTATTCATTTACCATTTGTGGACCCATCGCCTCTGCTTTCTGATGCATGCAACACCTAAGGAGGAAAATGGAACACTTTTTAATAAACACTTATGTCATGTAATCTAATTACAGAGAGACGGCCCAAACATTTTGGATGCTCAAGCGTTACTGGAAGTCACGACCAAAGGGATCATCTTCAGTCACGATGAAAGGAAGTGATGCTATTTATTTACGTCTATGATCTGAACGTGACATTTCTGGATCCGTTTTGACTGAAATCAGCGAGACCGACTGATGTTTCAGACTTTCCAACTCATCGCACAGTCAAAGAGGAAGACACTACAAATATAACAACTGATGTCATGAATCACTATACTTAGACAAGTGCTGAAAGAAGATTCGCGTATACTTAAATCAGCGTATTTTCATTGCAAAATAAGCAGTTTTTTTCGAAAGCGAACTACATCAGACATCTCCAGGTTACTCTCATTACCTTTGCTAGGAATTGTCAATGCATGTTTGTGTCAATACATCGTTAAAATGGATTAGGGACACAGACCTTTCTCATCTGAGGTTTGTAAATTTATATAATCTTCCAAGCCTACGGTTTCGTTATTTCTCGAGTTATCTATTTTTTTTTTATTTGAAGGCCACTCACTTTATTCACTTTTACATGTCTAGGCATGCAATGATATCATAATAGAGTGTTCAATCAACTGTGATTAGTATTATGGACTGTAGCGGATATCTTGCCAGTGTCATACTCATGCACTGCCATTGATTCCTCCTTGTATGTCATGTTTATATTTGGTGGTTTAAATCCTTAGCGAAGTTATGAAATCTTTAATTGTTAATAGTCGAAAAGAAGTTAAATTTTCAAGATATCTTAGCATGGAATATAGTTTAAAAAAAGAAAAAAAGTCAATTAGATACACAACGATAGTCTTTCAACTATCCTCAGTATCTTTCATATAATGTTGAGAGCTTTTAACAATATCATTTGTACTTAGAGCGACAAGCTAAACAGCGAAAAAATATAGATCAGCAGTGATTAGGCTGACAGTCATTTTGTTCTGCCTTAGTCATGAGGTGCATTTACTTCGACAATATCACGAAAATGTCCCTTTGCCCTAGTTTAAGTCATAATTCAAGCTCGTCTGCGAAAAGGTTTAGAGTTTAGATAAAACATCTTTGCAAAATTGCTCGCCATACTCCATAATGAATGATGATCCCGCTATTCATTTAGAAAACCACTCGGGAAGAATCGGTACAAGCACAGCTTTAAAGGGTAAACTTATGTGACAGAGTTGCATGTTAGGATCACCGCCTTTGATGAGGTCTCTGTCAGAAATGAGGGGAATCGAACAGTCATCTCACTATGAATTCAATTTTTCCAATTAGTAACTCCGAAAAATTGAAAAAGCTGACAAAAATTCGTGAAATCAGACCCTTTTACGATTTTCGTCAATGCAGTTGACGTCGGTCTTTAGCGGTCCTCACATATTTCAACGTTTTGATTATGGGGAGGCATTAACAATTTCATAACCTAGCTTTCGCGAAGTTCCTTTGATGTTCGTAAAAGATGAAAGCAAAAGTTTTTTCTGTTACGGCATAACCGGTAATGGCAAAGAAGAGCCAACATCCAATTATGACAAAAATACCCCCTTGAGGTTCCCTCTACGCTAGCGTTTTTACTTGAATTCATCGTTGTTTTCTTTGGAAAACTGCTATTCGTTTTCAGTTTTCATTTAGAATTAAGAAACATTAAAACAAGTTCTCATGACCAGGTAAACAAGAAAATGCACGTTCCCCACCACGTTGGTCTCTTAAAACATTTTGTAATCCCTTTCCAATAATATCAACCTCACCCTTGAGGATTTTACAGCTCAATCTTTCCAAAATCTTAAGAGATGAGTTAACTCGCGCCATTTGTTCGGATGAAGAAAGAGATAAAATTCTATCAGCATCGGATGATTAGCTGAAAAAGAAATTTTTATGTGATAGCTTGTATCTAAAATCTACATCTTCCAGCAACATGTACCCTGTTGCACAAATTTTATGCATAATGTCAAATGACTTGACCATGCACAAGACGCTTACTCCCACAAAAAAAATTGAATTTATGATGACTCACCGCTGAAGCAAGTAAAGCTACAAGTCTCAAAAGCACTGCTCGCCTGGACACGGACATCTAGAGTTCTATAGAATCCTTGCAGTAAAATGAAGTCCACTCCACGTTACAATGCTTTAAAAAGGGTGCACTTAAGCTCAAGAAATATAAATTTAACAAGGTGTGTCTGCAAATCGATGAGGTATGCTTTTCGTTTAACGATTGGCTAAAACATATTTAAAAATAGGTGGCTTAGTGGCCTGATATGTATTGGCGCGTACGGCTTTTTAATCCCAACCTTTGATCTACCTCCAGAAAATTTTGTTTCTCAAGTCCGTTTGGAAAAGTTTCAAAATACCTGGATGATAATCCAGTTTACATGAGAAGGCCCATAGAGTCACGTGTTATTTGTCACCAATGCAAAGAAAGAATTAGCCGACTTTTCCGTACGTTCTGGTGAACGACAATTAAAAGGGTGAAGGGTGTTTTTTTTCGGCATTGCTTTACTTTCATTTAAGAATTCTGACCCAAGATGAAAAAAAAAATGTATAACAGGTTGAATGGTAAACGTCCTAATTAAGTAAAGTGGAAGCCTACATTACCTAAATTGGTAAGGAATTTGTTTATCTTCTTTAATTCCCCAAATCCAATAGTGAAAATCTCTCTTAAAAAATCAGATTATTCATGCAGCTTTCATCGGCTGGAAATAACTTTTTCAGGTATAATGTAACAGATTGGGATAATAGAGGCATTATTCGCCCAGTTAATTTATTGCGTAACAACAACTTAATCCTGGAAATCACCGCCGGGGATTAAGTAAATACAGCATTTGCCAACATTCGCTCGTACTATTAAGAACAGCAAATTAAAGTGTTCACGGTGAAAATTTCACTATAGTACCGAACATTTTACATCGTTTCCGCTCATCAATGAGTAACTTATCGTTGGTTGATTTTTTAATAAACTCGTCCTCTTGTGGGTGATTTCGTCTGTGATTCGTGTGTGATTCCCGCATGTTTTGCTTTTCACTGTTTAGTGTTAGTGGTACCGTTTCATGTCCAACGTTTTCATGTCTGAGGTAAAAAACTGCCATAAAGGAACTCATAATTCAGGGTAGTCAAGTCGAGAAAAGAAAAGCGCCATACTAACTTAAGAGTGCTTAAACCATTCTTACCAGCAAGGCTCAAAGTTGTTAACTTATTCATCTGTTAAATGACTTTGATATGATTTCTTTCCACAGTGAAACTGCGGGGATAAATGAAGACAGTAACACAGGTAACATTTGGTTTATAATGGCTGAAAATATCAAATAAGGATTTAGATCAACCTGTGGCATGGGACACAGAGTTATCCCTGAAGAGAAAACAAGCCTTCTCAAGTTTGTCCCACGAGAATCAGCACATATTGATATAAATTGAAAAAATATATAGATAAAATAAATAGTTGAGGTGGTACTAAGCGAGATTTATTTCGAAAATTTAAAGGTTATTCGTGAGGAAAGCTACAGACCTCTCGTAAAATACAAAAGATAGCTCAGGGATCTTCCATTTGGGAAATGTCTCTGGTCGCATGAAGTCTTTCATTCTTTCAATATCTGTTACAGTCGTTACTGAGTAACTTTGATACCTGGTAATACACGTTTAAGTTAAAGTTGAGGTACAAGAAATTTTCAATTCATCATCTTTACTCTGTGACTTTCTAAGTTCTCTTCATAAACAGCAGCTAACTTCTTTTTTCCCCTTATTACTTTATGTAGCAAGTAAAGTGAATTATTCAATTGAAGATCTTTTCCAGTTAAAAAATCTGTCCATTTTTTCCTTTTCATGTAGTTGTAGTAAAAGAAAACCTAGAAAGGTTCCTGCAGATAAATATCAAGTGATGAAAGAATCGTTCTGTATTAGTACTGATTCATCCTTCATACAGTGAGGAAGGAGGGTATTTTGATATTTTCTGTATCAAATAGGCATATAAATCACATTCGCCTTTCAAATGGAGTCTTCGCGAAATCAGCCTGTAAAATTTCCTTAAAAGCTATATATTTAATGAGTTGATAAGTTGCGACTCAACCAAGGAGAACTGAGATAGTTTGGAGAGAGAATTTGACGTACGGCTCGAAACTTCAGCGTTAGAAACTCCTTGCGGTGGCCAATTTGCATCATCAACTCAGTTAATTATACCAAGTTGTATCTTGCAATACCTTCCACCGACCCAGCACCACACGGTTCTAGAAACTTATCCCCTTCAACAAAAATTTAAGTTATACAGATGTATGGTTGTACTGCTTTAACTCAAAGATTAAAAATTATTCCTTCCTACTTTTCTTTGCCGGGCTCAGTACAACTAATTCCTTCCTTAAAGAAAAGAACTGAAAGGTAAGGAACTGTAAGGTAAAGAAGGTAAAGAACTGAGGTAAAGAACTGAGTTGCCTTTTAAGATTTATCAACGAGGAAAAGAGTGCTTTGAAGCGGTAAAATATTGTGAAGGATTGCTGATATTTCATACTTCAATAACGAACATTCAGCAGTAAATACAAGGCAGCGCTGAAAGGAAGCCGTAAGACTCATGTGCAACACAACTCATGACTATAGGCATCGAAGCTCTTTATTTCGCTCCGTGAAAAGCATGGGACATTCGCATACAAAATTGGTCAATATTATGCGGAAAATAACCACTACAGACTTGGGTAAGATCCGCTGGTATGCATTGAAAGTGTAAGTTTCAGTCATTTTCAAATGTGTAGAGAACCCTAGTTATATGCATGTCAAGAGCACGTATGATGAACTCACCATGACAGTAATCAGGAGAACCACCCTCATCAAAAAAATTGATTTACAGAACATTTTCTGATTCTTCTAATGAAATCAGCTCCAAATCCTGCTCATGTCATTTATGCTATACCTTCTCCGCGAAAAATCCTTTCACAACTCCTTCAAATAAGAAATAGCTTGAGGCCGCTTTCTATTGGCTGCAAAACGAATTTGGGTGACCTTCTCCAAAACCGGCTCTGATTTACCTTGTGACATTTTAAATCCGTTATATGTGGGATTTATCGTTTTATTTTTCGTGCCTTGTAGCCCCTGCTTGGTACCTTGGGACAAACTCGTTTCTAAGGTACAAGTGTTATCACAAAACCACGGAGTAGCAATGTTGTTGGATGTTAAATGAGGTACCTCGCAGTATTGTTAGAATTCCGTGAGACAAGCTAATAAGTCATACGATTCGTCATGTTTATAAGAGATAAACGAATTTTGCCTGTATTTCTTACGGGAACAGGAAATAAATTGAAGTCAATGTTTGAGTTGGAACGCTGAAACTGAAGTAGTATCTGCATATTTTCAGTTGGGTTTGACAGGTTAACTGATTAACATTTTCGCCACTAAAATCGTTAATTACTTTATCCTGTTAAAAGTCATCTTGTCTCTTAAGAATAAGTAACTCCTTTATCCTGTATTCCTTCCGAGTCGTGCCACAAAACACAGTTAAGCCCGCTTGGAAGGTGTTACTAGATACCGTACAAGTAGCTGTCTAGACACCTTTTTTTTCTTTTTGCATTTTGTGTAGTGTGTGGTACCTGACCCTTCAAAATAATCATTTATTAAAAACCTAAGTAAGGCTGCCTTATCTTTTTAGCTCTCACTGGTTATTATGAGCAGCCTGTACCCTCTCCATTTCTCATATAATATATACAAATATATTTTTTTTTGTATCATGTAAATTAATGTAGGGTACAAATAAAGTTGTCATTGTTGTTAGCTCAAGAGCTAAAAGGAACCAGACACACGACACAGTGTTCCTCTTTCGTTACAGTGTCCATACTCTACAAATTTGTCTTTTCCAGTTTAACTCATCTGAGAGAAAACAATCAGGGCCAATTAGACTACCTTTGTTCCATAAAAGTAAATCAAACTGACTAACCCCTAACAGTTACCCAGTGGTACTTTCTTTCACCCTTGGAGTCCTGTAACTTATGAACTTGTTACTTAATTGCAGTACTTAGCAGTTGGGCCATGATTCAGAGGAAATAAATTGGTCAGCAACAGGAAATTCTTTCAAGTGATATTAACAAAATCAGATTTTTTTAACTAATGTTAACCCTTTGTTACAATTAATGCTGAAATGTGGGATCTGCACGAAGAAATTACCACTAATGAACTGGTATTGTGAAATTCATTAACTAAGTCATTAAGAATAATTATCGAGTGGTATTTGTGCACGCAGATTAAAATATATCCATTCCAAGTGTTGTAAACTGGATGGCAGAGTAACATGAGGAAACACCCTTTACCCTCAAGTATCATTAAGCATATTCTCCATACTGTTCTCTATACTTTTTCTAAGGTGCTGACAAGGAGAATGTGCTGACAAATCAAGAGCTTCTTCAACTTGTGATCATTTCCTATATTCTTGTGACCTTAATGTGTGATTCAGGGGTGATATTGTAAGAAGAAATAAGATGCTGGTCACTCTTGGAGGTCAAAGAGTTAGAGGATATGCACTTAAAAGGGACCATTGTAAATAAAAAATCAGGAGTTACCGAGGAGTTCTTTGATTTGAAAAAATCTTAAATTTTAAGTAGCAGAAGTAGATAATTTTTCCTTTTTTTCTTGCTAGGTATAACATTTCTCAAACCAATATATATTTTTTCTCTATTCTAAGATGTTGGCATTTCTGAAGATAAAGCTTTCATAAATTTACAAGCAATATATTATAAGACCTGGAACAGTATTATAGGTAATTTAATTGTGACAAATTAAACTAACAAATAAATCCAAAGGTATATTCTCAAGAAAGATACACCAGTCCTAAGCTGATAATGCACTGGTTGTGTTAAACTAAACAAATACAATAATAGGAGCAGTAAAAATAATAATGAAGATTGTAATAATAATACTATCAATTATACTCTTAATAATAGCATTATTAATAAAAATGATAATAAAGGCATGGATAATTTAAAATCCCTTAAGAGGCAATACTATCGGCACATTTCATCTCTGTAGACTCATTAATATCAAGGTACTTTCCTTAGTGTATTGTCAGTATTCAAATTTATTGTTTGGCATGTGGCAAGAAATTGGTCTGGTTCAATGAGTAACCTAGAAGACAGCAGAGGTTTTCTGGACATAAACAGTCTAGAGAAGCAAAACCAATGAAAGGTCAGATTATTTTTCATGCTCAATTAAAAACTGCTCTGACTATCAGGTCTCATTGCAAACTCCAGATGCACTTAGTCTGCATAATTGAACACTCAATCGGAAAGTGCTCTAGAAATCAAAGATTGTGGATCATGATCAATGAGAAAAAAAAATGCTACAAGTTTTAAGCTGGATGTAAATGGCCTTTTTAATCAATCAATTACGAGCAACAAAGAAATTTCAAGACTCAAAGCAACTTTTAGTGGGGGTCTACACTTTGCATTAAGGGGAGCCATACTTTCCAAGATGTTAAAGGTATCTTGGGACCTCAGTTTTTTTTTTTTAATCAGTTCTTGTCATTTCAACTAGCAACCATCTGCAGACCTTGCAAAAAGTCTCTTTTAACACGAAGGGAGCAGCATTGCAAATATTTTGCTTCCCAAGGAATAATAATGTCTGAATTCCACACACCCTGTTCAATGTCATACCTGTCAACAATTTTTCTTTGTTCTAAGTCCACGTTGGATCCACCAACACCTCCAAAAACATAAATTTTCTTTCCTACCATGGTAGCCCCAGCAAAGTACCTTGGGACATGCATTGAAGCAATAGATTGCCACTGGTCAGATGTTATGGAATAAACTTCACAAGTTGAAAGGGCAACACGCACATTATACTCCCCACCCATGACAAAAATTGATGATTTGTATGACACAGCACATGTTCCACCCCTTGGGTGGGTCATGGGAGCAATACTTGTCCATGTATCTTGCTCTGGGTCATACTTCTCTGCTGAGTTTAGATATTCACCATTCCCTGCTCTCATCCCACCAATAGCATACAGGAACTGCCCATTACCTATAGCACAAGTGACTTCTCGTGGGACATTTAAGTCTGTTCCCAGAGTCCAGACGTTCATGGAAGGGATGTAAATTTGTAGTGTTCCTCTGTGGCCCCTCGAAGCACCAATAACATAGAGACACTTTCTGAGGAATGCAACTGCTGGAAATAAAACCTCTTTCAACATCGAGGACATAGTTTCCCATCTGTTTGTCTCCAGATCAAACTTTTCAAGAGCTTTTGACACCATGCCATTTCTTTCTCCTCCAACTGTATACAGCTCTATTTCATATGCAGCAAATCCATGCCAGTTAATCTGGTTTGGAAAATGTTCCATTTCAAACCAGTTGTCTTCTTCTGGTACATAACAACGGACTGAAGTTGACTGAGTCTCGCTGCTCCTTATCAAACCACTAATAGCAACAACAACATCAATTTCTGGCTGCAGACATTTTCTTGGATTTTGAGGTGACAAACAACCAGATGAATGATCCCTTTTCATGGCACTCTCAACTAGTTTTATGCAAAAAGAATCTCTTTGAACGAGTGAATTTGTGATTACCTGTAACTGAAGGTACTCATGTGACATTGAGCCAATTCGAATGCATGCTAGTAATTTAGGAAAATAAACTTCTCGTTCACCTTGATTGTAACTGATCCAAGCAATGAGGCTCTCGTACACTGCTTCTTCGTTTTCAACACAAATGTCATCACTAGAAATCATATATGTGATCTCTTCGATACCAAGTCGAAGGAAATCCTGGGACTGCGTGACTTCATGAAAATGTTTGTCAATGAATACACGGCACGCTCTAGAGAGTTTTGCGCAATTATAACGTTCAGCTAAGTCAGAGTAATATAAACAATTGGAAACATTGATGTTAGCAACTAACCATTCTGATGTTGCCAACTTCACCTCTGGGATAAAGAAATAATCAGCTGAAATGAAAAGTTCTTCAGCATTGGATTGTGTGACTTCAATGGTACCTGTGTAAAAGTAAGTTAGTAACGGACCCAGTGCGTTCGCTGTGACTTCCATCTGCGATAAATCTACGCAATCAGTCCACTTCTCCTTCATGTCACTTGTAAACAGTTTATTAAAGTAAGGACAGCCAGCAGCAAGGACGTTTCGGTGAGCAGGAAAGGCTCTCTCAGCCGTGACGAGAGTGATATCGCAAAGCAGTTTCTGTTGTCTAAACTCGTCCAGTTTCGCCACCAAATCCACGCAGTACTGCACTTTCCCTGTTGCTTTATTCATTTTTAATTTATTAGAAATGAAGAAGATTCGTCAAAGTTCAAACGCATAAAAAACATCGAAGAAAAATGTGGTCAGGATTCGAGGCTTCGGTTACCCAGCACCGATCGCCATCTTGAAAGAAAAAAATATCGAGCAACCCTGGTGACGAGGAGAAACGTTTCTCAACGATCTCCCAGAGCTCTCTTCGGTGAACTTCTCCGCCATCTTGCGCATCTTCACTGCCGTCCGTTTGAAGTTTTCCCCACCGAAGCGACCCAAAATGGCGTACAAAGGACAGAAAGTGCAGAAAGTCATGGTACAACCTATTGTATCCTCTTACTTGTAACGAAAAAACTCACATATTGATTATGTGAAGAGATTAACTGGCGAAGGATCGTAGCACGTGCTCCCATTTGACATTAAGTAGCTTTATTTGTCTCGAACGGTCATGCCAAGATCTAAGAAGTTTCGATCCTTTGCGATTTATAGTTGTATGCGTGAAGCAGGGTGATTATTTTATGACGTAACTGTAACTATTACAGCTTCGAGGGCACATGATACGCAATGTGAGGTGTCTTCGATTGGATAAAGGGGGTAAGTTTCAAAAGAAACTGCTCTACAGCGTCGGTAGGGGAGTATATCAAGACAATTTGGTTTCATCACCTGAGTCTATAATGTAAATTGGCCACCTTAAAGAGTTTAAAAGCTAATGTTTAGGGCGTTAGCCCCTCGTCAGGTAGAACTCAGTGACCCTATACTCTGTAGTTGCTGATCATCGAGCCCTGTTCTTGAATTCGACAGGTCACTCTTGCAGTGCCCCTATTTTCCTACAGTATCACTCACATGTAATACAAGGCGGTAAAATTTCCGCACAGCCCCATACCATTGTAAAACAAATCTGTTTTCCCAGTGGCAATGTGTTGTTTTTGTCATTGTTTTCTCTATCTGAGAACTGAATGCATAATGTAGTATGGGGCTGTGGGAAAATTTTACCTACAGGGCTCCTACTACAGCATCTACATGAAGTTCACTTATGATTTGCCTAGTTGGTTGAGTAATTTGTCCTCTAGGGTACCTGTAAATCATCAGAGAAACTGGGTGAAGTGCTGGGGGTTAACCGTTAATGGATTAGAATCCCATCCAGGGTGGAATAGTAATCCTGGGTAGATCATGCCTTGGAAACAGGGATAAGTCCTTTGCTTATTTTAAAGACCCTTGATCTTGCCCTTTGAAATCAGGAAAACATGGAACAAAATAAAATGTGTGTAGTTTTTGCTGTGAATTATTCAGTCCTGGCATCACATTCCCAGAATGGTGGTTAATGTGAATGATCAGTATTGTCTGGATAGTTGACTAATAGGAGCTGATATGATATTGTTACCTCTTTGCTGTGTTTTCGCCGTACACTCTGTAAGAATGTTGATTGATGTGTACATTGCTAATATTCTGGCAAAATACATTTAATAAGCTTTTTCAAATTTTGAATATGAATTTCTTGGTATTTTCCTTAACTTTTTACCCAACAGAACTTGATATTTAGGTATTTGCAAAATGTAAGTATTATTTTTTTTGTGTGTGTTTTTGTGTGTCATTTATGAATTGCACTGTACTTAAAAGCAATTTTTTAAATAGTAGTTCTTAAAATGCTGAAAAATTCATGGTTTGGGGTATTGATAATTAATTGAATCATGATATTTTTATTTTTATGTTTTTATTTTATTTGATGTCTTTTTTATGTTTCCTGTTATTCATCAGAGATCAAGAATTCAGATTTGGCTGTATGAGCAAGTGAACATGAGGATTGAGGGCCATATTATTGTAAGTTTCTAGTTAACAAATTTCTATAATTTGATATTCTATGGATAAGATATATTTTTTGCATGATGCTCTTATTATTTCACAAATCAGTGTATGAGAAATGGTTTTATTTTCCAGTTGCTGTATCTTATGTTTTGTAATGGACCAAACCAATTTTCTTATTTTCTTATCTGCAACATTGTAGAAGCAAGAATCTCTTGGAAATCTGGTTTCTTTTTTTGCCAATTTCTTTGTTTGGTTACTTTTGTTTTACTCATTATACTAAGAATAGTTTCTTTATGCAAGAAACTCGTAACCATCTTCATGAACTGCAATTAAAAGAAACCAATCAGTATTTTATCTTTGTAAGTCCAGAGGAATCACAAAAAGAAAAGGAGTAATATTTTTTTGATATATTTTTTACAGGGTTTTGATGAGTATATGAATCTTGTTTTGGATGATGCAGAAGAAGTACATCTCAAAACCAAGAAAAGGAGACCTCTTGGTATGGACTTTATTTCTAAAATATGTATAGAATTGAGTTACTGTAAAATGCCACAAATGTAAAAGGTATGGAATGTTGTTGTGTTTCAAAAAATAATTCAATCAGATGTTGGGAAACTTCAAATCTCAAATAATAAGGGTTATTAGTTTGTGGTTTTGAGGTTGTTAGAATCAAATCAAAGTCTTGGTGGTATTTCCATTTATATTCAACTCTTGCATGGAAGTGAAGTTTTGCTTATTTATGCACCAGCCCACAGAACCTATTGCCCTTTACATTCCACCCCACCTCCTTTAAGGTGATTCCTCAGTATTTCTCTGTGCATCCTACACTGGGCATAAAAATTATGTAAACAGCCATATAAGCTTGCACGTAGTTTGAGATCACTTTATTGTTTTTCAACTGATTGACCAGTTAAAGTGGTTAGATAGTCCTTAGCTCTAAAATGAGCACACTGACCTGTTTTGTTTGGTGTAATTTTAGTGTACAGATTACCCCCTTTAAATTGGAGAAATAAAAAAAGATTAATCAAAAGGAGAAAAAGATTTACACTAAAAGGTGTGCATGAAGCCCATTACTTAAGGATGCAAATTATGACCTTGAAAGCAATGACTCAAGGAACGTTTTGAGTCATTGTCTAAAATCGTGTGAATTTTCTAGAAATTGTGTATCAAATTGTTCCACATTTTCTGGATACTACCTTGAAGTTTTTGGTAAGTATCACTTATGGAAAAACCTTTGCTTCTAGCTACTGCAAAATGTGCCATGAACCCTTGAAATGATGCGCATGATTAGTGTCTGTACAGGCATAAATAAGGATAATTTGGCCCAACATATCTCTTTAACAAGCACAATGACCTATCTTTTTTATTGTATTTTTCAAAATAGACATTGGTAGGGAACATTTAAGGAGAATAAAACAAACCCTTTTTTCTGAGGAATCACCTTAAATTTCAATGACCCCCTAAAAAATCTGAATGACTATTTTCCATCTGGTGAAATAGGGAAATAAGTTAAATTTGCTGTCTTTTTTTGTCTTGTGTTCTTCTTAGGAAGGATATTGTTGAAAGGAGACAATATTACGCTCCTCATGAATACAGAACCCAGCTGATTAATGCATCATCCATGCATGTATTGAGCTGAAGATCAAGAGAAATGCTTTTTGGAACAGATTTGATATTTCTTTTAGCCGTGAAACCTAGTAACACTACTGAAAGGGCTTGTAACCTTTGTTTAGAACTTTAAATGTAACTTTTGTACGTACAAGGCGTGACATTTGTATTTGTTTGATTATGAGTAACTGTAGCTATGAAGTTCTGCGCAATCGACCACTCACACCCAAAATGTAGAAGTCTCTCGACATTTGTTTTCATGCCAGTGCAATGTAAGGATGTCTTTTTTCCATGCCATATATCTCAACCTGCTTCAGTCTCATTTGTAAAGTTCATCGTTTTACTTACGCTCAGAAAAAACAATTTGTATATGAAGTTTTCTTCATTTTAACGCACCGGATGCCAAACAACAGTAATTGTTCGATAGCTGAAAGCTCTTAACTGTGACATCTGACGTCTACATATAAAGGGAAGTGAGATATTTGTAGCTTGCCTTCGTTTCTGTTTCCCATTGCTTTAGTATTGGGCAAGATACTTCCAAGAAACTTTTTTTACACATGACTCGTACCTTTGCAAAACACAAGTCGGAAAATTTAACAACTAGCCTGGTTGCATAACCAAAACCTTTTCTCAAGATATTGAAATAACATTATCAACCCTTTTGATAATGGAGCCCTCATCTTAATGACTCGGAAAGAACAATTAGGGCTTTTAAAAAAAGTGTGTTTGGGAAGCTTCCCGCGTGTTTATCCAATAGTTTTAGTGAGGTATTTTTTTTTTATCGCTGCCACTGTGCTCTATCTACAGTAAGAGATAACATACAAATATTTAAACTCGCACGTGTATTAAAACAATTTACAGTACTTCACGCGTTTTTATTAAGCAAACATCAAAATTAAACCGCACTCAATCACATTGAGGTGCAATACTAGTTATAAGTCGCCAACAAGCTTTTAAATCGTAGTCACTGATGTGCTAATTAGATATGTCACCCAGGTCCACAGTATAACGTGGCTTTATTCTATTCCACGCATTGCCAAAGACAATTCACAAACAGAAACTTAGATTAAGGGAACATTCTTGGCTTGTGATTCGCGGAGACCTTTGAAGCATCTTCCCCTTTCGTTTTCCGTTTAAAACTTTTGTAACGACGTAAGATTACTTAGTCCGCGCTAATTTCACTTCACTCACGTTAAGAGATGTTAGATCGCCATGCCACCAGATCTGATGGAGGAATCCCTGTTTTTCGCTTGTTGTTATCGGTATCTCTTGAAAAGTAATATCCGCACGTGCTTTTGCCACTGGTGCTGAAAGGCGCTAACCTGTTTACATGTCTCATCCAGGGCACGGCTAGACTTTGAACTGGAATACCAGGTATTTTTTGCGTGTGTCGTCCGTTACTGGACTTTGTCGAGTACTCGGTGGTTGAACTGGCGAACGATTTCGAAGCTGCCTCTTTCAGGGCGTCAGAAACATGCCGCGAGTAAGGAGCTTGTGTGAGAATACCAGGCTGCTGATCCCATGAAGAGATTCGACAACAAACGTTGGTTGGCAACCAGACGGCCTTGAAGTCCTTTCGGCATTTTTCGCACTTCCAGCTCTGTCCAAATAACTGTCCAGTATTAGGCATTATACCCTGCACGTAAGGCTTTCAATGCGATCGGATCCAATAAAATGTTTCGCTGGCAAATCTAACCCTTCCTTTTTCTCCGTCGCTGCGCAATCGATTCTCACAATCGCAAACTCCAGTCGGGCTCGCGATGTCGAACGCGAAACGTAATCGATGTACTGACGTCATAATTGTCTTCCTATGTGATAGTTCTGATTGGAATAATTAGGCGATTGCCGCGTGACAAGATTTGAAAGTGATATCAGTTCATTTTTGAGCAAGAAATGTCAAGGAGACTGCGAAGCACGCTTATAATACCAGCCGCAGTCAGAACATTCCTATTGATTTCGGCGTAGATAAAATGAAGGGTTTGAACAGCGCTCTTGATATAATTTTGCCAGTCAAGATTTATTTTCCGTCTAGATTTAAAGAATAAAGCGTTGATGATTTGCTTTGTTTCTTTTGAAAACATTAAGGCTCATTAATCCATCCCCCGCCATGGAAATGCAGTTGAACGTCGCGCGCTATTATTCACACGAAAACAAACACATTTATTCTGAGCCAACTGTCAGAAACATTATTTTGATCTATGGACACAACTTTCCTCCTCACTTTCTTTTGCATCGTTTAAAAACTGCTACAATAATATTTTGATTTTTGAAAGGAGGGATGTACAAAAATGATTGCTTTGCTCTCATTTTCGCTTCTTTAGTTTTGGCATTTGAGGAATTAAACATATTACTTTACATTTCTGTCTTTGATAAAAGTAAACGTTCTAGATTAGAACGCTGAAACATGATTTTAGATGAGCATTGCAGCAGAAAAGGCTTACTTTTAGGTAGTGTTTTCCTCAAGATATTGGATGAAATTTGCGAATATGGCCGTCTCAGATGGGCAAATGGTACTATCCTCAAAAGCCGACAAAAAGCATAATGAACAATGTGTACCCTTTTTATACAAACAAATTATTTGCAGCTAAAGCAACGGAAGGGAAATGAGAGGGTCGAAGAGAAATGGAAGGAAGAACCGGACACGAAGTTCATCAGGTCAGCGGTATCATGTTTGATGGTAACCATGACAGCACTATAACTTTCGCGGCCATTTTGCTTTTTTTGACCTAGCGGGCAAATCTAGAGCGCGCACTTTCCAATTTTTTCCCTTAAACATGCCAGACGGTGAAAAGCCCGTGATACCTCCTGCTCCTGCAATACACATAGAGCGAACGTTAGCGTTATTTAAGCCAGACGCAGTTCACAAGAGCGATGAAATCGAAGAAATTATACTTCAACATGGTTTCACCATTTTGCAGGTACTAATGAATCAACCGTGTTTTCTATTTTCTTGTTAATTGTGATAGGCCAACAATTATGAGTAACTGTGACTTTGTGAGCTTGATACTCTTCGAACCCGAAGGAATGTGTGAGGATGCTTCCCTACATTATTTAAATTATGATTACCTCTGAGCAGAACTGTATCTAGTCAAATACCCTATCTAATTTTTTTTGGATACCAAACAGAAAAGAAGAGTGCATATGACACCAGAACAGACAAGTGATTTCTACGCCGAACACTATGGTAAAATGTTCTTCCCAAGCCTTGTGGCTTACATGAGCAGTGGGCCAATTTTTGCTCTTGTCTTAGCAAGGAAATCAGCAATTACTTACTGGAGACAGCTGATTGGACCAACAAACACGCAAAAAGCAAGAGATCAGGCACCAGAAAGGTGACAGACTTTTCAATCTCCCTTGTACTTCCAGGGTTTCAATCCTAGTGCATGGATGCTATTTTTTGGCACTGATTGGTTTTTAAATGGTCAGAGAACATCCCTTAGAATCCAAGGACCTAAACACTACATGTAAATATGCAGCTTCCAAGCAATAATAGCAAATGACCCACCCATTAATTTTGTGCAACTCTACTGGCTACTTATTGTCACATGGTACAAAATCACCAAGTAGTTATCACACAATTACCCCTATATACATCAATATTTGTCCTCTGATTATGTTGAAAATAAAAAAAGCTAGTGGAAAGAAGCAAGCTCAAGGGTTTTACTTTTTTTTTAGTTTACATGTAGGAAAAATAAACTCATTTTGTAGAGCTTAGTGGTAGTGAAATAAATAAGCTGATCTCAAATGCAGTTCTGAAAAGAAAATAATGCAACAAAAGTTGCTGTCAATATGTGATATTAAAATAAATGGTAAGGTTATTAAAAAAAGATAAAACCCTTCTGGCTTGCTGGTAATTTTCAGCTGATTATGTCCTTGGCTGACAGATTGTCCTCAAATTTCAAATTTTCCCTGGAAGCTTCACTTTTTGGCCAAATATCCATTTTTAGGACAATCTCTCAGCTGTTGACATTATCAGCCAACATACCAGCCAATTGAAGGGCTTTTTTACTAAATGGTTTTCTCATTTCGGTAAGCACTTAAATGTTGTTAATCTTATGTTTTTGGGAGAATGTTTGGACTCAAGCCCCAAGAACAATAGGGAGGCTGTTTAATTTTTGGTATGGTCAACCATACGCAAATTTTTCTGGCTTCTCCATTGTTTTGAACGAACTCATCAATTGAAACTTCCCATTTATTTATTTAGTCCCAATGTGTGAACAAAGAAACCAACAGTTGTACACAATCAGCCCCAGAGGTACTTACATATGATAGGCTTATGGGGATGTGCTGCTGGATGGGTTGATTTTTCACAACTAGATTGACAATAGTGGGGTTACTAGAGTAAGGCTGCAAATTTTCAGGATAGTTAAAGTAATAAATTTCTGGTAAGGAAGGATTGAAAAATGGCAAGATTTGCATTTTAAAGGTTGTTACCTTTGGGATTGTGAAAATTACTTGTAGAATATTTAACATAGTAGTGACATTTGTGTTCAAGCCTTTTGGTACTGGACATGAATTTAAAAGGAAACTCTTTTTGAATTTATTCATACAGACTTTCAAGACAAATTTTCATATAATAAGGACATTATTTTTATCTCTAGTTTGAGAGCAGTCTATGGTACAGACAGCACCAAAAATGCTCTTCATGGAAGTGACAGCTACTCAAGTGCAGAAAGAGAAATACATTTTTTCTTTCCTGATAGTAAGTTAATAGAAATTTAGTCTTAAAAAACCTAACACTATAAACTCCTTTAAAATCACTCTTTTTTTCTACTTCTTAAATCACCCTTGGTTACTGTGTTGAATCAATTTCCTGGTTGTTAAACATCATAGGTGTTGTGGAACCAGTTTCAACTGGGCAAGCAGCCAAAGACTACCTCACAAGAACAGTAACTCCAACTTTACTCAAAGGACTCACAGAATTATGCAAGATGAAGCCTGCTGAACCAATAGTAAGCTTTTACATTTGTATTTGGTCCAACAAAGTCTTGCAGAAAGGCTGAAGCTACTGTCAAAGAGAGGAAAGGTATTAGGGAGAGATACTCCCAATATGCAAGTTCTTGGTGTGGTTTGGATGTAAATGTCCACTTTTTTTGCCTTTCACTCTCAAATCAGGGATTCATAGCCTTCCATTTTACATTCTGTCAGTTGCTGGTATTATACAGCTGTTTGGCTTTGTGACTTGGAAAACAGTTTAAATAACTTGACGCTTGCCTTGTTTATTGATAGATTTGGTTGGCAGATTGGTTAGTGGTGAACAATCCAAACAAACCAAGAGTTCAAGAAGAAGGTTATACTGTTGAAGAGCCAGATGACTAAAGCTGATTCTCAGACGTTTGACTCAGCTTCTTATAAATTGACAAGTAGAAAAAGGAAAAAGAAAGCAATCACTGTAAACTTTACTTCATGATACAGCTCTATTGTTTAATTTTTCCGGTTATAGGTACATACAAAATAGAATCTGCTTTCTTGATGGTATTTACATTTGAATTTTAAACATATATCTTGAAGTATGTTACATTTACAGCTGTTCCTAAATATTTATCATTGTTCTGTTGAGGAACAATGTTATTATACTGACAACGATTGTTTGTTGTTAATTTGGTATGTATTACTTATTGTCTTGAAGTTTTTCTTTACAGTCAAACAATTTGTTGTAAATATCACATATCGTTAGATGGATAATAACAATACTTTTACTACTTTAGAAACTAAAAATTTTGCTATGAATGTGATGAATCTGAGTTGTTCTTGATTAGATGATATTTTTGTTAACCATGTGGTTTCAGCGAGTGTGAAGTTTAGGTTGGGAACAACACTTTTGACAGAAAAAAAATTTGAAATTTTCAGTTGTGCAAGTTGTGCGCCTCGTCAATTGAGCGGACATTACCTAATTAAGATACGCAGCTTGTATGTAGCAGTAGGTATGCAGCAAGGCACAGGTGTAGTTGAAATCCAATTTTTGAGGAGCTACAGTAAATTGTGAACTGTATCACCATTTTTAAGGATCACTGACCATTGGGTGATGAAAAAAAACAAGATTTAAGAGAAGACAGAGTAAAAATACCTCTGAAGGCGACGCCAAGAACTGGCTTGTGGAACAAGAATTGCCTCTGTCTTGATTAGTGATTAACAATGAATAAAGGAAACATACCTACAAGTACGTACACATGACAAATTGTCTGAATTGATCATTTATAGAGACAAAGGTAGAAATTAGTTTAGTGGGGCGCTCCTCAAGGAGAACCACCTATCGAGTTTCCACTCAGTTCCTGAATACGGGTGAGCTTTTTTACGTTATAGTCAAATACAGTGGAACCCCGATTTAACGAACCTCTATATAACGAAGTCCTCGGTATTACGAACGATACTCTTTAGCCCTGCCAAAGTAACAGTAAAATGTATGGGAAAGAACCTCGATATAACGAAATCCTCGTCGTAACGAGCACAGTCCAGAAGCCCCAGCGTGTAATAAACCCCGACGTAACGAACAAATGACCACATGTAACAAAAGACAAATACGAGCAGACCAACAAACATCAACATCCATCAGTTACGTGACAATAGAACAACTTCACAGTTAATCTCATTATAAATGCCCACCCTGACAATATCGACAACACATCTACAGATCCGCTTTATCCTCTTTGTCTCTTATTAGATCTATTAAGTTGAATTTAACCTCTTTATTTTTGAAAGCTTCGTGTGGTAAAAAGTATGAGAGGCAGACATTTCCAATCCAGTGCCCTTGTTTCTCGGTTCACCAGTGAATTTCACTGAAATTTGTCCTCCGTGCTTCAAAACAAGGTGCTGTAGCTATGTACAGACCTATACACTGCACTGTAGCTTCATATAGACATTAAAGCACAAATATTATCTACAATATAATTGTTCCGATTCTAAATGCTGGGTAGCGCGACGTCACATCACACACACAAAAAGAATAATAATACAAAATTAAAATTTAATTATTAATGAGCCCTCGATAAAACGAACAATTTAATTGTTTCCCTGCAGATTCGTTAAATCGAGGATTTCGATATAACGAACACTCAATATAACGAACCAATTTCCCCAGTGTTTTGGTATTTCGTTAAATCGAGGTTCCACTCTAGTGACAAGTGTTAGAGATCATATCACCATTATGACTGTCTGATGTTTTCAGTTTTGTTCCTTCTGCAGTTACACGTGGCTCAGAATCAAACTTCACTGTTTTACTGTTCGTCTTTTTAACGCCGCTATCGTTAAATGCACCCTGCCTTGAAGGTGTAAATGAGTCATTATTTTTTACTCCGCCTGTAATTAGCTAAATTTTAGGTACGGAAACAAACAGTATTTAATTGGCTTTCTGTTCTTCTTGACTCATCCTCCTAAATTGCTCACGCATTTCACTCGAATAGATTATTCAAATTTTGACGTAAATATTCGCTTAATCCCTTAATTTGTTGGTTACGAAGTCCTTGGCATAAAAACTTCGATAGAAAGTCTCCGTTGATAAACTGTAATGCGCGCTCCGTCTTCCATCACCTTAGTAACTTCTTGGTCATGCGATGGATTGTTCCGCTTTCGATTAATGGCGATGCTTTTAGTCTTTGCGTTATAATTCTGCGCATTCGACAGTTCTTCATGATGAAACGAATCATGATGTTTATCACGAGTCTTCAGAAAAGAGGAGCAATCCCCTTTCTTTGAGATTTGTGGTAAACGCGTTAATCCTCTCTCCTTAGATTTCAACGATGTTCGTGAAGTGTTTGTTTCATAGTTTCGATTTTCTGAGATAGATTTACACGACAGAAAATTGATAGGCTCCTCGTCTCCGCTGTAGAAGTCAATAAAACATTTATCGGCTCCTTTGTTTAAGTTCTCCTCTTGTAAGAACATTTGTCCGGTAAGAGACTCGACAGAAGCCACAGGTATCCTTGGAAGACACAAGCCCGAGGAAGTGTCTGGAGGTCGATCTCTGTTGTTTGGTTTTGCTCTTTGTTTTGTATCTGATCTGGACTCTTTCTGTCTTCCTAGAGAACATCTGTAAGGCGTATGACTCAACAAAAAGTTGTTAAAAGCCGTCTGTTTTATCTTCTTATCGAAGCAGACGTGTAAACTGCCATGGCTTCTTCTATTGTCCGTTCGGAAAGGCTGATTAACCGCGAGTTCCACCAAAACTTGTGCTGCTGGGAATCCGTGTGGAGCTTCACGAGTCATGTTCGATCAACAAGTCCATGCAAACCAGACGGATCATCGTTATATGACCATCTACAAATCAGCTGTTCAACAGAACTACTTCGCCCGTTGTGGCCATCTCAAACAATGCTAAACTTTGCTGCGATCACGCACATGACCTTTAGTTGACATAATAAATGTTGGCTACTGATCTGTCATGTCAAAGGAAGCTTCGATGTCACACACGATCAGTAACAGCAAACAAATCTATTGTGCGTCACTTCACGAAACTTCTGAGATGACCTTTCTAATAAAAAGTATTTAAGGTCAAGCTTATAACTTGATAAGCGACTCGATAGGACAGTCCAGATAGGCTTTTCAAAAACCTCAACCGGCAGAAACGATGTATGGTTCATTTTAACAGTTTTTAATCGGCTCTGGCCCTCGGGCATATCTTAAAACAATGAGAAAATTGTCAACAAATCCCGTAATTATCATAACCCTGATGTTTGCCTCAATATCGACATGTCGAACAATAAAACTCATTGAAGTCTTTAAAAGTAACCTAACAAAAGAGAGTTAATTATCCCGCATTTGATGGAAGTCAGCGTTTCAACTTCCCTCTATTTTGTACAATTAGTCCCTGGTTCTTTTCTCGTGGCGTAACATTTTCCAACTAACGACCTCGCTGTCAATTTTTGCGGACGGTCGATTATGAGATTTATAAGCCATCTATGTAATAAACATAGTTTGCATTTTGAGGTTTCAATGTTATGCACGACGAGGTTTTAAGGTTTCAACAAAGAAGCAATTAAGCAAAGAGATTAACCCTGCCTCTGCTACTAATGAAACCTTCATGGGCTATTTATGTATTGTTTGCTACCAGCAAAAAGTTTAAGCCATAAAATTGGATGCGGTTTTCGTAGTTATGGTTACGAAGATTGTTGCAAAGGGCTGGAATTATTGTCCTTGACAAAGATTGACAGGCACGTAATGCGTACAAAGGACTATCTTGGTTTAAAAAGCAGCTGATATAAAATATATCAAAGGACAGTTACATGGGGTGTCAGCAAGAGGCTGCGTTTTCCAAAGTCTTCATGTGAATAAATGTAGTCACAAGTTCAGACTGGCACAAACATTGATTTGAATACCGTATTGAAATAGCCTGGTTAATGCTCTGAAATTTTGATTTTTTTTTCACATAATTCCCTCCTCCAGGGTACAAGAAACTCTCTCACATGAAAGTTCAGTGAGGCTACGAGTCAAACCTAAAACCATAGTTGAGAAGAAAAACGAGGATAGCATAATTGCAGGTGGAATTTGTGAATCATGGGGTTCTTTTCTAAGTAACACGGTTTGCAATTTACTCATGGCTATTTTTAAGTTCAAAACAAGGATGGAGCTTCTAAAGTCCTTTATCTCTCTCTGTACATAATTCAGTCAATGACCACTGTTTCACTTTTTTATCAAACTTTATTGAAAACATAGTATAGAATAAGATGCTCTTTGATCTCTCGTTACATGTAAATAGAAGTTAGAGCCTTCGAGGACGTCCTCCAAATCCCCAAACTGGAGGATGATGAAATTCATCAAGATTGCGCACGAGGCTTTCACGCGTTAGATCATGTGTCTGATCGTGAAATGTCGAACGCCTTCCAGAGCTTTCGCCCGATTTCACTGACGACATAGAGTCATTATTTTTCGTTCTCAAAGCGGGCGAGGCAAGGACAGACAAAGGAGTGGCTGTATGAGGAGGCTGCGGAACACCAGTAAAACTTCCACACAAGTTCCCATTTTCATCCAGGAATTGTTTTTTGATGATATTTTTGTTGTTAATGTATTCGACGAGTCCTGCTAAGGAGTCCTTACTGTTCAAACTGTTCAGGGCTTGAAATAAAGTAAGTTGCTTTTCGGCAAACGGCTTCACCTTGCGATGCGAAAGTGGAGGAACACTTTTCGATTTTGGAATTTTGAATTTTGATCTCTGCTTTGGCTCTTTCAGCCAGTGGTGTTCCTTAAGTTCTATCGGTTTACCGGATAGTTCAGAAAGACCACTAGCTCTTTCTTTTTGGCATTCCTCACTTTCCGATGATGGTATTGGCGTTCCAGCTCGCCATGTCAATTCCATTATTCCAAAGTGACTCTTTCCCTCCTTTTTCATTCCTGAAAATGGATGACGCAGAATGTTGAAGATCATTTTTTGCTCAAGTTTCGGAATCAATTTAGTGGGATATCCCAGTTTAACGTGCTGGGCACAGGGAAGATTAATACGAAATTCTTGCACCTTTTTCCAGTACACCGATCATTTGGCTTCAATGCCTAGCTGACCTAAGTAGGCCTGGGAGGAAGTTTGTAAAGTAAACATCCAGGGGAACCTACCCTTATAAGGCACAAACTTACCAGAAGGGTATATTTGAAAACAGTTTGGCGTTTTTCATGAAGTTTTATCTCAGTATTTTCAAATGATATTATCCGAATAGTTAATGAGATTTAGCTAGTGAATTTTACGGTCTTGCCTTCGACCGAACATGAAGTTAAAACTCGTCTCGGAATTGTAGATTTAAGAATGTAACCAAAACCAACCACCCCAGTGGCGAAAATTTAGATAAATGACACCACAAAAGGACAACTTACCAGTATGAACAGATAACCTGTGAGGTAGGGACATCACTAAAAACTCTTGTGTTTCCCTTGAGGTCCGAAGATGTGAATCACTCAATGTTTTGGACTTTATCAGGGTGGAGTTGAGTAGTCGCTGTCCACAAGTGTCTGGACCCAAACAATGATGAAGTGATGCCTGTTCAAATATCGGTTGAGCCTGCACATCTGTTTTCTAATGAATGATAATTCAATGTGTTACTCTCCATTCTCAAAATAAGTTTATTTTCTGAAAGCAGTCTGACTCGACCATTCAAAATTAAATCTAAAACTAATTGCACCTTTCATTGGTCACTACGCTTCAGTGTTTGGTTTTGATTTCAGGATACTCAGTCGATATATGTTCTTCACAATATTACATTACACTCCTGTAACACAGAAGGTTTGATTTTCTCATGGTTGTTATTTCTGGCCCTTAGTTTGCGGAAGATTTGTCAGCCACAATCATATGAAAGAAATTTAATAAATTCCAAATGTGCTCGACTGGTGGGGTGGTGGTTTAAACTGAATGGCCGTGCTTTTACAATATCCTTGGGTTGAGTCCTCTTCAGCGACAAAAAAATAAGAGCAACCAACCAAAACCTCTACATTAGATGTAACGAACGAGTTTTTTTCTTCTCTTTGGCTCAATAACTGCAATTTGGCATGCAACTACTGGCTGTAAATTTCAGTGTCCTAATGGAGCTATGGAAACTCACCTTTCTAGCGAAGCTTATCTGTTGGATCCGTGAGATTTTCTTATCCACCAGTAGATTAGATGTTTCTCTTCTAGATGTGTGAGTTGTTTCATGCACTTCTTTCTCGGGCCCCAGGATGGCGCAAAACTGCAGTAAATTCTCAAGCAGACTGGTAAATGGCTGCGCTATCTCAACTCTACTTGAGGAAAACAACTCATCATTTTCTAAGCACTTTTTCACTAGTTCAAATATCTTTCGCCTAGTTTCTTGTAGACTGTCATGGTATTTAGCGGGCAGTCTTCCCAGGCCATCGATGAAGACATAGTCTCCTTTCTGCTTAGAGCTCAATAGTTCGGACTGAAAGAGTCGTCGCATGCTCATCACCATTTCTTGTTTAGTTTTTGACGCCTTACGTGCTAAAGTGGTCAGACTATTCCCCAATGGAGGCAAATTACAACAGGTCTCCAGTAAGTCACCAATATTGTAATTTGGTTGGATTTCATCGTCGTCCACTGAAATCTGTTTTTCTATGGTCGGTTTTGTCCTCTTCGTCTTGAGTAAAAGCAATTTAGCACTAGGCTGATTTATTCCCGCAGTCTGACCCATGATACTAAGGATCTCTCCTAGAGTGAAGTGTTGTTCATGGCCTTCCCGATAGATAGAGGTTTGTCTTTTGTAAGAGCTTCTATCCTTAGGTTCCATTCTTGGTTCCGGTGAAGTAGTGTGCTGACTCATTGCCCGAGAAGGTGTTGTATGTACGCTCTGTGTTTTGTGACTCAGTGACTGAGATGGTGTTGTGCTCTGTGTCTTGTGATTTACTTGCATATTACTTTCTGGTGTCACTGATGGGTAGATCAAAAAAACCAAATTCAACGTTTGAAGGTTGAGTAAATATGTAACTGAATAAACCAAAAAAGGCCGTTTTTCCTTTTCGTGATATTTCATGACAGAAGTGTCATTTCGACTCATAAAATTATCCCCTCAGATTTTTCTCGCGATTTCTTCAGAGCTTATGTTGGGTTTATAGAGAAGCAAGGTTTTCCTATATATTAATAGCTGACAAAAGGCATCATATAAAATAAGAAGAATCCGGAAAAATTTCACCTATGCAATTTTATTACTTTTAGGTCCATTCACCTATCTATTTATTATCATTTTTATTCAATTGGTATGTAAAACCCACCCACTGTTTACAAGGGGCAGCACTTTTTTTCGTATCTGCTCAAAGAAACAGCTATCCCGAGAAATTAGAGCGGTTTTCTCTCTCATTCATCTTGGAAAGTAAAATTGTTTGCTCTCTAGAGTATCAGAGTTTGGTATTACCTCCAACCGCAGATTAAAATTCAATCAGTTCGCCAATATTTCACTGAAATTTCAAGTATAACACTTTAAGGAAGCTGGATCTGATAAACATTACCTGAGCTTCGAATTTTTTCTTGCGATTTCTTCGAGGCTTTTACAGTTTCCTCTTCAGGGGTTGTGGACTTGCATGGTTTACCTGTATTTTAAAAGACAACGAAAGAAATGCAGTGTTCATTCTGTATACTTAAACTTCGAAAATACATTGATAATTCTAAATTCGTACAAGGATACGTAAAAAAGGCGTTCCAGTTGTTCATACCTAAATCAGTGGGCGTCCAAACAGCTGAAGATGACACTGACGACCTTGAAGCGATTGACACTGTGATAGGGGTTAGCCTGTACTCCGGAACTAAAGAAAAACGTATAAATAATACTGACTCATTTCGGCTTTAGAAATACGTAAGCTTTGATATGAAAAATTTATTTCCAGTCTTACTCATTGAAGTGATCCGATATAACGTTTCTCTGTGGCCGAATCTCCGGCTTGTAGTAGCTGGAATACGAATATGAATTGTTAAAATGCAAATGAGCGGAATCCCCTCCCTCTCCCCACCCCGAAAAAGACACTGACTAAAAAATACGGCCTAATTATTGTATTTATCATATAAACACAATAGCCCTTCACAGACAAAAAAAGCCGACTTTAATGAATGAAAATAAATTAATCGACAATCCCTGAATAACAATCGTACAGAGCGTTGGCGCTAACTCTTAGGAAGATGGAAAAATGCGTTGAATCTTGATTATAAAAACAACAATGGGCGTAATTTTAAATTTACAAAACTCTCATTTATTGACTTTGTCCTTACCGACAGAAGAAGTCTTTCAGGTAAACGGCCGAAATCGGCCAAGGGTAAATCTTTCAGTTGTCAATTTTCATTCTCAGCCGCGAGACATACCAACACCGAAGCCACTGAATACGTAACTTTCGGTTTTTCTTTTCGTATATTGGTTTTCTTCCCCTTCTAAGAAAGTTTGAACGTCACTGTCTGTGAGCGATACGGATTTTTAAAGTGTTTTAGCCGCCATAATCCGAGGAAGTTCCGAAAAACTACCTTGTACGGAGAATCATGAGGGCTTTGCCGTTCATTCATCAACCTGACTGAGTGGCGCGAAAGGCGAGTGACGTTCAGCAGCTGATTGGCGATATCAAACACACGTGAAATATCGAATTTTTCCACTTTTGTTGTTATGGCTTTTCTCAGGGCTGGGAATCCTTTTATAAAATTTACAGAGAAATGCGCGCCGTGATTGATCAGAACGAGTTGATTATATTTCTATAAATACGCGCGTTACGTGCACTGTTGAGATATAGTACACGCAGCTACGTCATCGGTACGGGCGCGCGCAATTCACGATACTTTTTATAAAAGAAGTAAAAAAACTTGTTCCTCGAGTGAGTGATATAAGCATTTAGAAATTTTTAAGAACTCTCGAGAATTAAGTGCGAGTAGTACTCTCCTTATGCTCGTGCTTCTTGTGTTCTTAAAAATTTCCGCGTGCTTATATAACTCAACAATGCACTCGGCGCGTTTTTTATTTCTTTAATATAACACCGTAGTTTATATGATAATAGACTCCACCAATTCACATCAGACCTCTAAAAACCCAATTGGCTTATGAAGCAAAAAGCGAAAACAGCCTTCTGAAGCTCGTAAACGATGTTACGTTTGAGGAGAGTATTTGTCTACCTTTTTTTTGTATGGTTGAAAGTAACGCCTAGCGGAAGACAGTCTCTCCGTCAACTTATCAGGCCCTGGTTGATCGAAGGTTGGATAACTCTATCTACTGGATAGAACTCTATCCGGTGGATAACGCTATGCGTTTTGCTATTACTTATCCGGTGGATAAGTAATAGCAAAGTAATAGACCCAGAATGCTTGGTGTGATAAACTCATCATTAGACCGAAAATAACTCAATACACTTAATTCAACAATACCTGTCTGCATTTTGTCACCATTCCTACGCAATTCTTGATCTAGTTCTGGTGATGAAACACTGGCTCCCTGGCGAAAAAAATAAAGAAAAGAACCAGACCCATATTTTATATAACTTATAGCACAGGAAGAATGAATGAATCTATATGAAATCAGCGCGCAATTAATTACGTTCTTAAAGTAATATAAATCAACTTAGGGCTTTATTTTTTCAATCCTTAAAGAAAATATTGGAAACACATAAAAATAATCTCAGGGGGGAACCCAGTCGTTCAGCTACTAATGATTAGTAAAGTTGACAAAATATTCTTGCCCTGTTATTGCCTTTCGTTTTTTACGAGATCATAAGAAAGAATGATGACCGATTGCACCGGTCAAGGACAAACCTAAGAGAAGGTAACCTTATTGTCTGTACCAGCGAAACGAGAACGAGTAAAGAAGAGGGCGTGTGAAAAAATGGCAGTTCCCAGGCAGAGAAAAAATGCGATCCATAGTCGTTTTCCTTGACAACCACGACGACCTTTATCGTTTGCCCGTTCTTTCACACGTCTTATGGAGTATATGTACATATGAAAATTCTCCTTTTTTCTCATTTGCATAATCTTTAGCGTTTCAATCGCAGCACATAATTGAATAGGCATGGTTGGAGATGAGAGTTAATTCCATTTTGTCTCGCTATGATAACGTGCATTTCGTTTTCTTTTGATCTTAAATCCTCAATGGACCGACAAGTTTAAAGAGGTATCTTTAATAAACAGCAAGACTGCATCACAAAAGTGAAGCAATCGTCTTGTTTCCTTTTCAAGCGATCGGGATGTTTATCTGGAAACTGGACCAAACGATCACTGACGCCTCGAGCCATATATTAGGCACATGATACCTACCCCGACCTCCAATGAGTCCTTTACATCTTTCGCTCTTATTAGTGTTTGGCTGTGGATAGTGCCACGTCTAGATGGCTCCATGTTCTGTAACAACTTACATCCCAAATGCGATTCCGTTAAAATAGCCTTGAATTTGTCTGTATCCGCCAAAGACGGTGGTCTTTCGAATATGGAGTGCTTGCGAAACTCGACAGGAACTTCTCTTGGTCGCTTTTTCTGTGAGGAGTGTGAAGCAATTAAAACAGTTTTTATTTAGGAAAAGAATAGATGATTTAGCATCGATGCAACAATGATAAAATAATACACACCATATTGACCAACACTTATAGGTTGTTTTACGTGTATGCATAATTTATAGTTCAAATTCCTTCCAAAAAATTACTTTACAGGTGCACAGATTGACAGATAGAAAAAGACAGGCTTTACTTACACTAAAGACTTTCACTCAAGACTTTAGCTTTTCAAATTATTTACGGTTGTTTCTCTACCTTTATCAATTTCTAATTTATAATCAGCTGAAACAGACAGACCACAACTTATCAACGCCAACAAATGAGCCAAGTTACTTACCATGGTTATTGGTTGCTTGAAGTTGGCCTTAAAAGGTTTCCTCTTTAATGTGTTCCTGAGATCTGTGTTCCTGAGATCACTGGGGGGAGAGACTTCTTCATCGTCTTCCTCTACAACTGTTACGTTTGCCTTTTGCCCGTATTTCCTTCTCAGTCTTTCTGCCAGTTCAAGCAACACGGCGTTGTCGTTGCACGTTAGGAAGGTATTAACTACCCCCGTGTTTATTAATAGGCGACAAAGGCCTTCCTTTGTGTCCACACCTGCAGAGGATGAGAAGGTAGATGCCTTCCGTGAACTGCCCGTTATAGAATAATCTCATTGCTGTTGAACCTCTTTTGCCTCTGTGGCCTCAGTGGGTATAAAATAGCGCTAGATTCAGCACCGAAAGGTTTGGGTTCGAGCCTTGGCCGGAAAATTTGACGAGATAGAATCTTGCTCTCTCTGTGTCTCTCTTTAAACTATTTAAATAGACATCATGAACTGCAAAGACAAGTGGCAACCAACATGGGTCAGAACTCTTTGTTCCCGAAGTTTAAATCCTAAAAAAAAAAAAACACCTCTACTACAGAACGGCCTCCACGCGCGAAACATTGTTTCCACATCTTCACTTATCTGCCAAACAACAAAGGTTTTCGAAGCACCAAAACTATAGAGAAAATAACTCGAACATGCTGGGTTCAAAATAAAGCCTACAGTAGACACTAGCATACAAATGTTATGTTTCATTTTAATGGCGATCGCTGCTTTCGTTCTACCTTGAAATACCTGTAAGATCTTTAAGAACTTTTGCTGCCTGTTTTCGGGTGTCCTTGTCATCATCTACGAGCCTGCGCACTAAGGAAAGATACGCATCATTGCGGTGAACGTTTAATCGACCTAGAGCCCACACTGCTGCCCAACGGGTCGATGGGTTCTCACTAGAAGTCATCCTAATGAACTGTTTCTGTATTTCGTTCATCTTTTCACCAGGAATTCCAAACTCTCTGTAGGCAGAAAATGTGATAATTAGCGTCACTTGGCAAATGATGGCTGTAAAATTGTAACGATTATCGACGCGATCTTTTCAAATCTTATCGCTGCCACAGAGATCTTCATGATCTTGTCGCCCTTACCTCTCAATATTCTTAAAACTCTCACAGATGTCCTTAATGTACTCTCCACAATTCTCTGTTTTCAAAGCGCTCACCATGTCGTCTAAAACTGTATCTACAGTGGGAAGTGTCTTTTTCTGCAACGTTGGATACCAATCCTTGCCTTTGATGCGGGAAAGCAAATTCGTATTGGGTTTGATCTCAAGCTGGAGGAGGGAATTCAAATAATAATGTTTATTATAAGTTATGTCGTCGACTACAAGGGTTTGGAAGGTGAAAGGGTGGGGAGATCATCAGCAAGGGGCAAGGACAGGTAGGGGAATGGGTTTAGATGAGTGGAGAATACCGAGTGAACAGAAAAACTTAAATCACAATTTGCATAGTCTTCTTGACTATGGCACTAAGATGACGCCAATTACTAATTCTCATCACTAGTTTGAACGACAGTTAACTTGAACAACAGAATGATATGACAACATCAAAACATAAGGAAAGAATTTTTTTACTAAAAAAAATACTTTTTTTTTAGTTGACTCCTTACCCTCATGACGCTATCCACGCTATCAGTATCGCTGAAAGGAGAACGGAATACATCTATGTCAGTTTCCTCTTCGTCACTCTCCTCAAAAAAAAGTTCTGGTGATTCATGAATCTCCATAGGTGAGTACATAGTACTGCTTTCTGAAGTGCTCTCTGGACTCGACTTGTTGGATTCTTCCTGTTCTGCCACTTCCTCTTCTTCCTCGACCTTTTCCATTTCTTTTTCTTTTTGTTCTTGTTCTTCTTCATCTAGTTCTTCCTCTTTCATTTCCTCCTCTCCGTGGTCCTCTTCAACGTTTGCCAGCGGCTCTTTACTAGCAGCGTAAAACGAGAGTTAAGGATATGAACTGAATGACATAATTTGTGAAGCTTTGAAAGGCTCTGTAGGGTTGATTCCGCATTTCATAAAACATGAAAAAATATCGTGCTATATCTTTGGATTAGTTATGACCAGAAGTATCCGCGCTATCTGCTTTTTATCATGATATGCTGTTCCTACCTACGAAGTATTAAAGAGAAGACAGTGTTGAGTCTACAGATGAAACAAAAGACACCTTCTGTTCGTATTTGAGGAAACGTGGAACAGCCTTCAAGCTTGGAAAAAAATGGAAAAACTACAACATTTCTACTCTGCCAACTTACGATAATCATTCTGAAAAAAAGCACTTTTCTATTCAAGAGAACTGAGAACCGAAGTGGAAAAGTTATTGCATTAACGTGGATAAATTATATCTGTAATTAGAGAGAACAAGCCACAAAACTGATCGCTTTAGACGAGTTTCCTTCCGAAATGCAACTACTGTAGAGGGACATACTCAGGGTAAAAACATTGAGGTGTCGAGAGCCAGTTGCTATTAGCGTGTTCTTTGGAAATGCAGGGCGCTAATATTTCTATTATTGTCTCTATATGATCGTTATCTTTCATTATCACGATTATCACGATTTATATTCATGCTTTTTCAGCCTTTTCAACTTGATGGCATATGCATGACAAAGATGATCCACCGATCACGGTTTAGTCTCAATAAAACATGAGAAATTGAAATCAACCTAAAACGGTTGAGTTCAATGGAACAAGACCTGAGTGTCGTAGAGCTATTATATTTTTTCGGAATAATAATATACATGAAAACATTACTCGCGTCTGATTGGCTAAAAACGAGTACATTTTTCATATATTGTAACACAGGTGCAAATTAAAAATAGCGCGCTCGTACTGTCGAAATTTCGTCTGTCTTGACTTTCTGTGATGTTTCCTAAGTGTGCATTATCAATAAGCAACAACATGATTTTGAGTACAATTTGGTGTACTTATGCACTTGCAAATATTTCGAAGACTACAAATTGCACTCGCCCGCAATTTTGTCGTCTTTGAATTTAAAAATTTAATTGTGCTTATTAACACTAAATTGCACTCGAAATCATGTTATTACCTATACTTATATCTTACCGTAGCGTACTTTTACACATGTTATTGAAGTTGTCGGAAACTTTTTTCAGTTTCAGCTTTTAACTTTGAACCCAGGAACTTATAATCTAACAAACTTAACAGCAACTTATTGACGAACGAGATCTGGGAAAGTTCATCGTCAAGCAACAATTTAAAGGATGAATATAATAGTTAAGTACTAAAAGCAAGATATTTGTATTCTCTTGCTAAATGATAGTGTGTGATAGACCGGTGATAGAATTGCCAGGTTGATATGCATGATGGTGTACATTGATGCTCATCGGTCAGTAGTTGCAAAGAAGAAACGGAGATAGAGGAAGTGGCTTAGCTGCCTTTAATTATAACTGAGTGTGGGGCCCATGATGTCGGAGAACTAAAAATACCTGGTTGATGTTCCGGCTTGAGGCCTTGAAGGCAAACGACGTCCTAACTTAGATTCATTTCTTTTAGATACTCTCCGTCTTTTTGCCTTGCCTCGCTCATCTTCGTCCCTCTTAAATCCTTCTTCGAGCGCTTTATGTTTGACAAGAGATGTTTGTAATGCTTTCCAGAGGGTCCAAAAGTCTTCAGGAGGAATATTCATAGAAAAATTACCCTTGGTTACGATATTATTTTTTAAAAGTCGAGTCCCTAGAGAGTATCAAATATTATATAATTCGTCTTCAAACTATTCTAAAGCGACTCTTATGACTTCTTGAAGGCGTGACTCGTCAGTTATATAGTATTTTCTCCCTCTTCGCTTCATTGCAATACGGTTATTCTTTTGAACTTCATGGTTACCTTTAGAGTGCCTAAATAATACGTTATATCACATTAACACCTGCCAAAGGTACGCGGAGAATATGCCACAGATAAAGTTAGCATTGATACTGTCTCACCGGTGATTCTAAGGTCCTCATCTGTTTCCTCATCTTCCTCCTCTTTCACCTTCGCATTACTTGTTACATGGCGTTTGTGTCTCGAAATCAGCCTTTCATGATCAGGAAAAGGCTTCGGTTTGATGAATTTGCGAATAACAGAGTTTGGGATATAGCCGTCAGGAGCACACGGCCAATATTTTTTAGGGGTCTCTTTCTCATCAGGTAATGGCAATGGGGTTTGCCAATTTTGACTATCCTCCATTTTGGCTGACTCATCTTGCTTTTCCTGTAATGAAAAAGAGCTGCATTCATAGAATCCACCACATTGTTTCTGTCTATCCTTTTAGAGAAGATAGATGTAAAATAAATCGTTCCGCGTGAAATTTCCGGAATCTCCCTTTGTATCCGCAGACGATCTTCACAGATTTGCGTTTCAAAGTCTTTCAATGGAGTTCAAGCCGAGTCGCGTCTCAGACTTCTCGAGAATTAAGCATTGTGACATTTTGAAAAATTTCTGTATTGCGGCTAAGGAATTCGACCTTCTTTCCCTCTTCGTCATTGTTGAGGATCATTACGGTAACATCAAAACGTGATAAAAAGTTTGACTTAGAACTTTATCGCGGAACTCTGGAACTCGCGGACTGTGCTGTCGGAAACTGCTTAAAAAACAGTTTTACAGTCACCTTTTACGCCAAAGATTACCACGAAGGCTAATCAGAACAAAGAGAAACCTGATCACAAAAAGCCTGTGAAAACTACAAACTGAGTACAAGCGATCACCTTCAAGAGCTGGAAATCACAGATCATCTGACCGGCCAAGTCGCGACTGGTTTTAGTTTTCAATCTGATTAACTGGTACGGGGCCGCCAGACTTTTGGACCAATGAATGCATCGGCATTTACAGGAAGCAGTATTTGAAAATTAAGATTTTCCAGATAAGTTTTTAAGCTTTTTCTGACACATTTAACTTGCAAAAGTACTTCCTTGTCAGTTCTAACCCAAACTTAGGCATACATCACACCGCCTACGTTGATGCCGTGTCCGTAAAAAGAGAACCGTGACTTAAGCACCACAGAGGACACTTTCATGAAGCTACATTCACACTTCGAAAAAACGTACTTATTTAGGATTAAGCTTTACACTTACCAGAATGCCGTTCACCATTTTCGCCAGTGATTTTTTTGAAGAATTTTTGGAAAACCGCCTTAGAGCCATCATCACGTGAATCTTAAAAAAAGAACAGAAACATTTGAGATATACTTTAAGGCCTTTTTTTCTTCGACGTGTAAGTTCAGCCCAAATGTGAGGTAACATCTTCATAGTATTGGTTTGGAAATATCTACAACGAACAGAGGAACAGAAATAATTGAAACTGAGAACGACTGATATCGGTTAAGGATGGAGCAGATAGAAGCGGATAACTTGATCATTTAGGCGTTTTTTATTTTCGAGATCAGAACAAACTGTAACATGTATTTGAGGTTCTAGCAACCACAACCGAAGGAATAATGTACTCGGTTGGACCGGTTTGATCAGCAGATCAGTATTATATAGGATGATTATCTTAGATTAATATTAATGTCTTCAGGTAGTTAAACAGAGCAAATGCTCTACGAGAGTAAATCAAATACCATCCTCGGCCGACTTCTTAGAGATAACGTTAGCTACGAATCAGCTTTATTCGAAACAGGTTTGTAACAGGTTTCATTTGTATCATTTTGAGTTAAGACTGCCTGTTGTTAAACAAAGAAGATATATATATAGAATTTTGCTTGGGGTAATCACAAGATATCAAAAGGTATAATGATTAAAAAACGCTTTATCAGAATACTCGTTTACCAAAACTCTATGTGGAGTTTTGTCAAAAATGCAAAGCATAGTGAACACTTACCTTGAATCATTTTCTGCTTCTCGTAGAATTCCCTTACCTGAGTGGACAGCTTTCTAGACTGCCTCCTCTTCTGAAACAGATCCTGTCCCTCCCCATCCTCTTGTTTTGCTTTTTCAATCACGGGCTCTTTCTATAAGAAGTTCGAAACATTTCCTCCTTATCACTGGTCGCATTATGTAAAAACATAACTGCGTTAAAGACAACGTCAAAAAGAACTCAACGCCATATATTATTACTTTTGTTCCACTGTCTTGGTCTGCTGTAAGTATCTGTTTTGCTGGGGATTGTTATATTTGTTGGAGGAAATCACAGAAGATCGGTGATTTCTCCGCAAAAATAAGAATCGTGGATGGATCGGCGAATCCCCGCAGAAGTACGGGAAACCATCTTAAAAAAGTTATGAATTTCTCCATCATTCCATTTTGGTGTTTTAGTTTCATTAGAAATTTCAGTAAAATCTGACGTGTTGTGGGAGTCATTTACACCGTAAAAAAATGATTATGGATCGAATAGGAGAAAATCCTCCTAAAGTAATAGAGAGCCTTATAGTAAAGAATTCAACCAACTTGCACCTTTTTCCGTTTCTTCGGTTTCTTTATTTCTGTGAGTTCTAGTGGCCGTCGTTTGTCGACTTTGAGAGGCATTCGTGGAACACGTTGGGGATCGTACCAAGATTTCAACAGATCATTGAACTGCACGTGATCCTCAAAAGGGTCATTTTCGATGCTCTTTCTGGACAAGATTTTTAAATATGAGAGGGGCAAATAGTTCAAGATGGTAACCAGGCTGATATGGGACTGAAAACCCACTAGTATGTCACCTCGTGAGTTTGCAAAGCAAACCCCGCATAGAGATTCGTCAAAACACATTTCTCGTACTAGTTGATTGTCGGTGTTCCAAATCTTGACGCTTTGATCCTCGCTTGATGTTGCAAATAAACCCAGCGTCGAACAACATGATAGCTTTTGGGAAAAAAGACATGTACATATGTCAGTAACGTGGTTTAGTTTTTAAGAGTCGACGAAAGCCATTTAGCTTCAACAACCTCATATTTATGCATGCGTTTGATTCTGTGGGTCAATTAAACATAGTTAGAGCAAACACCGCTCCGAGAAAGGGACTTATTTGAGCGAGAGGGTGAGTTCTAAATTCAAGTGGAAGAAATATATCTTACCAGACGTTTTGGTATGTAGTAAGCGATACTACACACCAAAATGTCTAATAAGTTATTTATCATCCGACTACTTTATTTTATGCTGATTTTTGCTAAGGCAGGAAAAGAAAAGCAGATGGAGATCTGTAGCGCGCACAGCCGATCAGCAAAACCGGTTTTTTGACAGTACAAAGTAACCAACAGTACAATATCGCAAGATATTTGTTCTCTACTTTATGTAGTTGGAAAGTAATAAACTAGTTACTGCCACAACTACCCTTTGGATGGGATTTTGGATCATCTTAAGCTACTCCTTGTGTCTACAACATTGTAAAACTGAACAAAGAGCCTTGGCAGCCATTAAATAAAAAGTCTCATTAGACGTTTTGGTGTGTAGTATCGCTAAGTATTTTTTTACTCGTTGTTTACATTTTATCCAACTGCTTTTTTTCTCTGCTGAGTCTTTTTGCTCATTTCTTATAGGGCGGGAAAACAAAGCGGATAGAGAAGCGTAGCGCGCGCGGCCGACTGGTTAAACAGGCTTTTTTTTTACGGTACAAAATAACCAACTTTCCAAATAACCGTACAATATCGCAGGATATTTTTTTTTCTGTTAGCACGTTATTTGTACTGTACTGAACTTTGTGCAGTTGGATAATAAGAGCCAGTAATGCTCAAAAGAATACTAAACACCAGGTTCGGTTCGGAATTTTTAATCATGTCGCGCTAAGCTGAAGCTGCTGACTCAGAAGACAGGGTGAAAGGCGAATTGAACTAAGGAGCGCAGTATCTTTGCCTTGGAAACGCTGCTTCCGTTTTAGTATTGGCATTTCTACTGCGAAATGAGCCCAAATTCTTATCAATTCGTATCGTTAAATTCATCATTATGTCTTACCCCATTGATGACTGCAGAGTGTCCTTCATCTTTGGAATGCATTAGGAATTCATGGGAATTTTTGACAGCGTCAAAACTGTTGGTGTTACTTTTTCTGTCTGCCTGCACTCTGGAGAGATAACCAGAAAAAAACCATCCACAAGTTGTTATCATCTCTCGTTAAAGTAAACTTTCTCACCAAATTCTTTGTTTAATCTGAGGTGGGAAATTGAAAGTGGCAACAACCGATCACAAAGCGTGATGTATTCAATTTGTATGATTAGCAGAAGACAGGTAGGTCCCATGGTGTAATGGTTAGCACTCTGGACTTTGAATCCAGCGATCCGAGTTCAAATCTCGGTGGGACCTGGGATCGATAATCAGCATGTAAGCTTTCCTCTTATTTTTTTTTTATCTGCCCTTTTCCCTGGCACGATTCGTCGATAAAACTTAAATAAGGCCTCGCTGATGCTTTAAAACATCTTGTATTTGTTTAGAATCAAATTTGTTCTGCTGTTTTGCAATTTTAAATAAATGGGAAATTTTGTTTTGAGCTTGAGTCACCGTCTTTACAATATCTGTCCACATTCTTAAAGGAAAGAGGCTTTTGACAAAAAATAAGATATTCGTTTTGTTTTAAGTATCACTTTACACCTTTTGTTTTAAAGTAATTTCAGAGTTTCAATGCATAATTTCCCTCTACACCAGTCCCAAAAAACATAGGAAAATAAACCTGCACATAATAACGTTGTTGTCAGCCATTGCCATGCATAAGGTGTTGCCTGCCATGGCCAGATCTCTTGGGGCCCGCAGCAATTTCACGAGTGCAACTTGAAGAATAGATACTTGATTTCTTTCCGAGTGGATAAGCCGCCATATTCTAACCGTGCAGTCTGTACCGCATGAAATCAGGTGATCACGGGACGCAAGACTGTCGCTTGACTCCGAGCAAGAGGCAGAAACTCTCAAGAAAGTAACCTGGCCTTGGTGGGCTTGGATGTTCTCTCTCATGTAAATATCTAACAGACACGAAAGAGAAGCATCGCACAATTACACCGACGAATAACTATTCATTATTGTTCTCGATATGAGGGTAAAGAGGCAAGCTTTACAAAAATATATTAGATGGCAAGGTTACTTGGTGACAACAAAAGATGATTCAAATCTGTTATTAACACAAACTTAATCTGCGAACTGATTGAAAACGATTATTACATTCGCAATATTCCTTTCCTAAGGAATTAATCAACATAAAGGTAATGAACAGGTCAAATAGTTTGAGCGACGATCAAATTATTCCAATTCACACTTCTTCATGTTTTGAGTACCGTTTTACCTTTGCCGCTTATGAGTGATATCTGTCCATCGTAATGTCCTGCAAAGAGTAGCCCTGACTGCAAAGGTAATTCATTTTCATGAAGGGCAAACTCAGCATTAACCAGAGCTAGGCTGCAAACCCCTTCATCAGGGCTATCTGGCACCCACAACTGATGTGCACTGGGGAGAGAAACGGCCCTCGTTCAACTACCTTCATACTATAAGTCTTCTGTCGGACCGTCAAGCAACAGAGCGCGCTGTTAAAATTTCATCTGTTTGACTGTCATTCTACCCTTTTTCGTGTCTTTTCTTAAGATGTAGTTACACGGTTTCTCGTGTTCTTTGGAACAAAAGGAATTAATGAGTTTTTCTTTCGTGTTAGTCTAAAAAATATAATCGTGCTTTTTCATACAAAATGAAACTCGAGATCATTTTATGACTCATGTAAATGTTAATCTTATGTTTTATGCCATAAAAAGCAATGAAAATGAGTTGAATGGAAAACTTTGTTCCTGTATCAACGTGGGTTGCTAAGAACTCTTTTCCTACAATTCTCTCATCTTTGCCGGACTTTTCTCACTTTCTTAATCCGGAAAATTGCTCAAGCATTTTCAACCCTGAGCACCATGTTCGACAAAATAAGGAGAAAAAAATTAATTGACATGAGGTGGGCTCTGAAAGGGCTTTGAAAGTGGCAACAACCGATCACAAAGCGACAAGTATTCAATCTATTTTGATTATGATTATGATCAGCAGAAGACAGGTAGGTCCCATGGTGTAATGGTTAGCACTCTGGACTCTGAATCCAGCGATCCGAGTTCAAATCTCGGTGGGACCTGGGATCGATGATCAACATATAAGCTTTCCTCTTATTTTTTTTTTTATCTGCCCTTTTCCCTGGCACGATTCGTCGATAAAACTTAAATGAGGCTTCGCTGATGCTTTAAAACATCTTGTATTTGTTTAGTATCAAATTTGTTCCGCTATTTTGCAATTTAAAATAATTTAACTGCATATGCTGACTAAAAAGAGTCGACGCTTATGAATCTTTGGTTATATTCCGGATATCGATAGGTCAGGCACAGCCTTCAAATCTCTCTTCATTTGTGCTCAATCTGCTAAACATGTTTTGGTAAATTCGGTCGGTTCGCATAACGACCCACACTTTAATTTCATATACTCCTAAGTTGTGAGCGTCGGTGGTATAGTGGTGAGCATAGCTGCCTTCCAAGCAGTTGACCCGGGTTCGATTCCCGGCCGACGCATACTATGTGAATAATCTTCCATTTTGTTCTGAATTGTATATATTTTAAACATGGCAATTTTCGGTTGGAAACGAAGAACTCACCCTTGTGTCCTTCGTGTCCCTTGCTTTTTTAAAGGGTATCAATAAGTCAATCAATCAGTTTTCCTTTTTGTTTTTTTTTTGTTAATCAGGTGATTTTCATGACCAACTTTTTTTTACTTTTTGTGTAGAAGTTTTCTTTTAAGCATTAAGACGTTTTGCTGCGGCGCTTAATGATGTGGTTTCTCAATACTAACGATCTCATTGGTGGGTGCCTTACCAACACGGGTTTGTGTCACTCGCGAACACCAAAACTTCTCTGGTTCCTAGCACCAGGTAAATCTTTTCTTGTCTGGGATCATGAGCCACGTCCATTACATCAGTCGTCATGTTTGTGATGGGCAGGAGAGTTGTCAGCACGTATCCATGAACTGGAGACACCAGCCGCACCCCACCGTCCTCAGCAAGAACCAATACCCGACAGGGGTACCCTGGGGATTTCACTCTGATGCATATTCTAATCTTCGAACTCAGAGCAGTAAAAAGACTGTGAAATAAGTTAAGACTCCATATTTTGATGTGATGGTCCGAGTGATAGTACAATAGGTCGTCACTGAGTAGGCTCATACTGATCACCTCTTCACCTGTTTCCAATTTGAAAGTCTGTGCGCACGTATCGAAGTTCCATATCCTGATGGTTTTGTCCAAGGAACTGGACACTAGGAGTGGTTCTTCTGGATGAACCAGGAGCTTTGTGATCTCAGATGTGTGTCCTACATGGTAACATGGATCATTTTTTAATCTAATACTAGCGCTAATAGCGTCTCCTCGAAAATCAAGATTAACGGGAAGAGTGGGTCATTATAGAATTGTGATTAAAAGAGTAACAGTGGATCTTCTATTATTACATTACAACAAATGGACGTCGTTTGTGATTTTAACTCACCTAGAAATTGAGTTACCATAGGAAAACTGTTAACACTCGTGCTCCAGGCTCGAATTGATCCATTTTTGTCACCTAAATAAAAATATCGTTTATGATAGAGAGTGAAAGATCACAAGCTACCTCATCTTCCCTTGTGGAGAGACAATACAAGTCGTTACGCTACATAAGAAAAAGTTCACCGAGATGTGTAGAAAATCAATCTTTGCTCGATGTATTAAGAGCACTCCGACATTTAAATCTTTCTGCACAATAGAGTGAAATAACTTTTAGAAACAAACTGAACCGTAATAGAAACTCGAATTGAGTGATACCAAAGCAAAGTGTTCAGTGATCTCTGACGACACCAACCAGGATATTAAGATCAATTAAAGAAAGAAATGTCAGGAGTCTAATCGACCTCTTTGGTAACCAGATTCAAAGGTGGTCTTTCGAAAAGCAGCTGATTAGCATGCATTTGTAACGAGCTAATGTGTTAATGAAAGCGGTTTTCCGTCATGCCTTTGTCTTACCTGTGATGAAGTAACTGGCAGGGTTGTAAAACGCACAGGTGGTGAAGGAAAAGTCACATTTCTTTTGAAAAAAGCATCTCTCTTGGTTACTGTGGAGATATATCATGGATATCCTCACATCAGATATTGCCAATATCTGCTGGCACCTATTATCAATTGTCAGTGACATAACCCAGTCAAACGGCTCGAAAGAACAGCTTATTAACTGGCCGGGAATTAAGGGATCTTGTTGACCAACAGAGAACTTCCATGTCATTATTCCGCCGGCGATTCCAGTGATGATTTCATCTCTTATTTCATTGTACGCTAAGCTGAGAACTGTTTTTTTTACCGATGTGGTAGACACAAGATGAAATTTAGCGCTAAAAACTCTCATGGACATATCATTGCAATATGTGACATAAACCCATCTTCTCTGGGAAAACAAAATATGCAGAAACATAAGATCTGTGGAGACTGATTGGATGCCAGCTGCTAAATTTCCAGGCTGTTTTTCCTTCGAAAAGTTCCAGATGTTTATTTCGTTATTCTTTCCGACACCGTGATGAGATATAAAGCTGTGTCCAGTACCGCTTTTAACGTGTCTTACAACTCGCAAGCGCTCAGGATTCCAGAGATGCTTCTGTAGTTGGAGTCCATAAGGGATGCTTACACAGAAGGGCGTGTCAGTTTGGTTTGAGACGATTTCTTCGATCTGCGGGAAAACGTCGGCCCATGGAAGAATCTTAGATTTAGATATAACTGTCATTGTACATCCAGGAATTTTCAAGATAGCAGTGTACAGCGTTCACTTTTTATGTTATCCTATAAGTTCTTGTGGGGCTCTTACCACTTGCTCTTTTCGTTGGGTAAATGGTAAAGAGCTTTAACAATGAACACGAAATTCAAAACATCTGGAAAATTTGTAAGTGGACGCTTGAAGCTTAAGGTTGAAGATGAAGGCGGATGCTATTCAGCATTGTTTACGCAACATCGTAAGTGACGCGAGGGCAACTATGATGTATACGTTGCGTTCGGATGCGCGTGCTTGTTTGAAACATTGCTTCTTCTACTCTGACAACAAAATTAAGACTTTCCTTACACATGCACCAATGTAATTTTCTGCAGATGTTATGCAAGACCAGGAAAGGTTTATAGCTTGCCTTTAATGACTAAGTAAAAACTCTATGGCAGATTACTTTTTCTAGTGTTGAACGTAAGTAATTGAGGATCGCTCAAGTCTTTGAAGAGAGCCTTGAAAAACTATTATATCAGGTTAACATGTGGTTTCGCTTCATTGCAAGTTCCCCGTCTAAGACTTCGCCCTAATCCATTTGAGTACGCCCCCTCTCCCAGAATGAAAAAGAAGTTCGCGAATTCAGAACATCACACCAAATAAAAACACTACATATTTCGGCAGTATTTCATTTCCATCATATTTCTTTCAGACCTCTACTTAATCGTGGAAACAGAACTAAAAATTAATCCCTATCATAAATATCAACATCCAAACTACCCCTGGAAGGAAAATTCCCCTCTTCGTTTCTTTGTATCCTCCAAGCATCGTATGGGTTGTTCCTCTTGAATAGAGGGGTAAGTTTTTTAAAGAAACTGTGGTGCTGCGTCGGTGAGGGGTATTATAAGATAATTTGGTTTTTAACAAATGTGTTGATAATGTTATTTAGCCTTCGCTCTGACGAAGGGCTGACCCTCAAAACTTCAACTTTAGAAACTCTCTTTGGTGGCCAATTTACATTATCAACTCATTTGATAAAAACAAATTCAGATCTTGTTCCCCTACCCTTAAATTTCATATCCTGGCATAAATGAAGTTACGAGGGAAATAACTAATCATGTTCTTAGCGAGCGTTCCGTTTGATTTCCGAGAGGCTTTCTAAGGAAGCTAATTTTATATGAAAGCTCTCCGCAAGCGATGCCGAACGCGACACACATTCAATAGAAACTTTAAAATCTACCTAGGAAATGGGTGCAGCAGCTAATCCAATTATCTCGATATGATAATTACGTTAATGTGACATTCCCTGAAGTGCTAACAACGATGTGTGATCTTGGGTCTGCCGGAGTGACAAACCGACATCTTCAAAAGTGTAGACAACATGGCCATCGGCTGTTAGAGCATTAATACCGATAAATGGAGAGGTTTTTCAAATTGAAAAGTCTTGAGGTAGCTTTGGACGCTTAAATTTTTGGAAGAGGAAGTAATCTTCGAGACTAAGGAACTGAGTGAGTTAATAATTGGAGGGAGGCAATTCGAAAACACGTCCTGATTCCTAAGAGTGGCAAGTACGTTCATTCCCTCAGCTAACTGCCAGCTTAGCTTCCCACGAATTTCTGTTACCCTTACTTGCTCACGAAGGACAAACAGTTAAGAGAGATTATTGTTGACGGCCAAGTGGGTCGAAAGCTATCAAGACTTATTACTCTGCCTCCCAATCGAGTTGAAAGGCTGATAAACAGGAAGTGAAGAGTCTATGGAAGTGAAAGGTAAGATATATACTGCATACATGTATACATACTTTATTCAAGATGTAGGCTAACTCACTACATGTGAACAAATAAAACAGAGACATTGAACATTCATCTTGAAAAGGGAGTTATGAGGTCGACCCTTTGTCAAAAGTCTAGATAACAATTACGGAGAAAAAATTCAGACAGAACACATTGTTGAGAGCTTATTGAGCCGTCTTGCTAAAAGCGATTAAAGTGAACGTGACTTCAAGACTCCGAAATCATTGCATACTTTAAGCAAATCTATTCTTTAGTGATTAAACTTCATTTGTGTCTGACTTAAGGGAAAATTAAGCTGGCTTGTTTTGGGCGGAAATGTTTTATCATAGAAGACTCTCGATACCATAAATATCTTTCGTGCCTGATTTAAGTTTCCATGGGTAAAAAAAAAAATTCTTAACCACGGAAAAAAGTGTTGGGCGAGTGCTGCTTGTATTGGAGTTCATGAACAACAATTAAAATCATTGTCTTTGCACGTTGTTGCCTACAAATTTTTTTAAAAGAAAAAAATGATTTCATTTTGAAGATCGGAAACGATTCATTGTTTAATTTGTCCGGTATAGCGGACAATTGCCTTTGGAACTTTGGATTGGAATCATAGTTGATAAGAATTGCACTTGCTTTTTTTCAATCTGATGATTAAATGTGATTGCTCAACTGACATAACGCCTTGGTTGGAATAGTGCATGCAAAAGTGATGATGGTGAATCGGTGTTGAAGAGTGTGTAGGAATTTTTTAAATTTGTAAGGCACGCAAAATAAGAATAGAGTTTGAGCGCCAATCGCCATGAGTATTATCAGGTTAATGAATTTTAAGGGAGGCGTTAGATTTACAGGCAATGACTGCTAAACCAAAGGAATAGCCACCGTAGAGCACCGAATAAAGCAGAGAGTCTACTCCTAAAGTGGCGAGATGTAATTGCATTTTGATGATAAATGAACTAATAGGAATGTATCGCTGTAGTTATCAACTCTGGCACGTTTCCAGTAGGATCAAGCTCTGGGAACCAAAACGAGTCAGTAACGGAACAAACAATATGGGAAAAACTTTGGCCTTGCAATGCGTAAAAGTATCAGCGGAATTCCCGCGATCATCCATCTTCACTTTGCTAGTGACGTGGCGATGAGTGCTCCGCTGAAATGTTCCTAAATCGGCGCGCCACGATGATTATTTAATTTTGTCACCCTTGCCTTGAGAGCAGAGTGGGCTTTCAATTCTGTATCAATTTTCATCATGTTCACGAAAGACAATTAAAGTTGGTGTGGAATTACTTTGAACTATGAACGTTCTGATTTCAACACCACAATTAGTGGAACTGCGCGGAGTACTTGACTGAAAAATGAACATAAAAACGCGTGAAAAGGTTTAAGGGAAACGTAACATTTGCGGAGCATGCTGAGAATTCTAGTTAGCAAATAGTGCGAAACGATAAACTCAAAGAAATTTTCACTTTTTCTTGAAGATCTTTTGGGACATCAGAAGTGATACGTAAGCTGTTTTTTAATTGCAATCTTTAGAGACCATAAGTTGCCCAGCAGTCGTTTTTGAAGTCAGTGAGGCCAAATCTGAATTACGGTAGATTTTAATGGGGAGGGAATTTGAGTGTCTGAACAAGGAAAGTTCTATTAGTGGAATGTTTAATTATTAGGTGAGTCGAAGCGCACTCGGTTGAGTAAAGTCTATACGGCGACTAGTGATACCTCGCCTTGGAAGATCAATTACTTAATTCTGTTAATAGAGAGATATTATTGATTTAAAGTTTGTCTTAGGATTCTCGTTTGTGCGAAAAAATTGCGTGATTCCAACTGTGAGATCAACTGCCCGTCTTAGCTATGTTTAGCATTTATAACTACAAAAAGTTAAAGCATTTACTGCTGGCCGTAATCCGATGCGCAGTCTTTTAGGAATTCCTCAGTTCATTTTATGTTTTAGAAGAGGCCTTTCTGTCATCCTAATTACCTCAGGAAGCACAAGCAGTTAGCAATATTGTCGCTGACAGCAAAGTTATCTCTAAGTCGGCTATCTGAAGCCCGGCCGCCGACGGTGGGCGTTTTGAGATACTTGAATGGCTGACAATGACAAACGAAGAATCTGAGAGACTGAAAGGTAAAATAGCCATAAGTTGGAAAATTCAAAGGAATATGTTTTGAAGCCGAATGTTATTTGTTTGGATTGTCCTAATTGAGGTGAATTACTAAAAGCTAGTATCAGTCAGAGATCCATTAAGTAACAATTTGCCATATTTTCCTACGAAGGCAAATCCCACGCATTGTCTACATGTGTTTTCGCGGGTGCCGTCTCAAACTCGGGTTTATCATGCCTGTAGATTACAATTTGATCGATAACGTTTAGGTCCGGATGTTATAGTTGCGATAGCAAGTAAAAAAACAAGATTAGTTTGTTTACAACGTTAGTAGTCTGATTAGAAAAGTGGCGAGTACCGTTTGGAAGTGGATTCGTGCATTCAGCGCATCTCAACAGGTAAACGAAACTATTTCCTTACTTGCGTCATTAAATCTTGCAATGGGCAAAATAAACGAGTTTAAAAGCTTAAGTGCAATTGCTTTAGACAACGGACATTTCCTTTTTGGGTCGTATTGTAAACAGAAATTAAAAGTGACACAACCGTTAGGTAGAACTACGCTTGTTCTTCTCAAATCAGGCGATTTTGCACTAAAACGTAGAGACTTTGAGGAAGTATATAATATTTGTCTCTTTCGACGCGACTGTCAGTCACGTTAGGAAATCATATGTAGAACTCCTCAGCACATTATTCTTTTTCTAAAGCTAAGATCTAGAGCTGATTTGAGTACCAAACAACACTGAGTAACACAGATCCACATAGCACTGAAACAGTAACACAATGTACTTGCATAGCAAACTTTGAAGGTGATTCGAAGAAATAAGTGGTGTTCTTAGGAACAGCGAAGAGGAGTTAACTAACGTTGTTTATCAAATGAGATAAAAGCGTCGAGATAGGAGTTGTTAAGGTGAACCTATTCAGGCTATATCACAGATGATCTCCTTGTGTGATTATTTTGTTGTTAGCCTGAGATGCAATTCTTTTCTGACCGTCTCTTCGCTTCTAGTTTGCTCTTGGTTGAGTCTCGAACTGGTCTTTCGTTATTTACTGAACGGTAAAAAAATTCTGTAAAAAGTTTAGGAGTTTGTTTGTCAAGGGACTGAACTTTAAGTTTACTTATCAAACAAGGTATCTGAAGTTCCGCCAACATCAAAAC